GTACTGCAAATGTCCTTGGAAGCCTCGCGCCTTGGCAGGAGAGAGAGCAGTGGCTGCGAATGTTCATTGACTGGGTTGGCCATCTCTGTGCAGTTTGTGCTTAGGAACGGTTTGAGGGTTTTTCTGTTGGAGGACCATGAAGTACCTGTCGTCAGAGGTCAAATGTACATGCTAGGAGGAGGCTATGCAGTTCCAGATGGCAAGGTGAAGATGGATGTCGACAGAGTCACTTTAATTTCATGTTTCATCATGTACAAACCATACAAGGCATCAGTTAAAAGGTGATGAAAATCATTGCACATGAAATGCATCGATCCACCTGCTCATATAAACTCAAACCTGCGTCAAAAAAAGTGCTTTGTCAACTACAGAGCCCCATGGGTTGCTGACCAACATGCCTCTGCCAGCCAAGGTCATCTGTCATGGTCAAGTTCAGCAACCTTCACAGCTTGATGGAAGATAACATGAACATTGCGCAACTCATGGCCTTCCCAGTTATGGTAACATGGAAGGAGAGGCCAACCTTGTGTTAGGCTGGCTCTTTCTGTTCAGGAACTCATCCTTTGCTATGTTGCAAACTGACAGACTTGTTGGGCTTGGCACCAGAGTTGCCTGAGCCTGTATGCAAGTAGGTTGAAGCTCGACTTATTGCTTGCAGCCTATTTGCCTTGAAAACTATGGCTGTCCCAAAAAGGCCCTTGCCTGATACACTGGCGTCCACCATCAGGGAACTGGTGCCGAAGGCTGCATGGGCACTGAACAGGCCTTGACTCAGAGAACAAGAAGCGCGGAGCTTTCATGTGCACTGCACAGATTCCCCTTTTGCTAATGTGTAGCAAGGGGAGTGGAAAAACATGCCTATTGACATGTACGGTTTGTTTTAGGTGGGGCTTGCAAATGTAAGTGCAGGAGCCCAACGGACTGGAGGTAGCAAGCAACACCCAGGTTCTGCCTTAGATGACAGACTTGCTGAATTAGCAGCATCAATCACCACGAGTGTTGGTCTGCTCACCACATCTGTGGGGTTTGAGTGCCTCAAGGAGGACACCCGAGAGGTGCTGAAGCTCACCTCTGAGCTGCTGAGGTGATTCAGGGATTTGAAATGCTCCAATGTATCGTCAGTGGTTTGCGATTGTGTCTGATTCACACAGTAATTCAGAGCATTGACAGTTTGGATGGTGCAAGTCATGCATATCAGCTCTTTTGCAGCAAGGTGTGCCATTCCCTCAACACACAGTCAGAATCCATTGCTGTAAATTCCGAACTGACGGTTTCATGAGAACATTGCAAGTTGCTGCCAGTGCATCCATTGTCTGTATGGAGCTGGTCAGTGCAGACAAGCATTTCTGTCATGGTGGCGCTCCTGCTAAGGTGCATTTCCCATGCTGCATTGCATATATGCTTCAGGTCGGGCCAGCACAAAGTGACATCTGCAGGATCAGTTTGACACAGCTGCAAAAGGCTGTCAGACCTGGCAAATCAGATGTGCAGCTAGAGTTGTGGACAATTGAAGTGATGTGACAAATGTGTCTGTGGCCTACCAGGAACCCAGATCTTCCTGAGGCAAGCATTGAGCTGTTCAAATCTCGCCTTCTAAATGCCGTCGACCACATAAATGACAACATCTCATCCATCCCAGCACGGTGGGTTGCCATAGACAGCCTAAATTTATGTCCATCGGCTAACTCCCTGGCAGTTTGGATGGCAGAAGATAATGTGCGGATTGCCCAGCGTTGCTTGGAAGGCTGATAAACAGCAGTTGCGATTCAGCAAAAATTGTCAACAAGTTTATTTCTTTAATGTCAGCAGCCCACTTCCAGGTGCTCTGAACGAGGAGGGTGGCAATGCTGAGTTTCAAGCAACTGAATGTCGCATCGACTGATGGTTTGACATATCAGGATTTTGCAACAGGAAAGGCTTGAATATCAGGCATTCATCATTTTACACAATCGTGCTGCCAAGTTGCATCTCATTCCACAGTAACAACATTGTAAAAGAATCGAGCTTTGTCTGACAACAGGATGGTTGAATTTCAGTTGTGTTATATGCATCAGCATGAAGTGCTGGCAACAATGTATTATGTGCTGTCCCTGGTACTGCAGGACAGTGGAGCAGGTGATTTATGGGAGCGGCAGCATTTACGCAAGGCAACCCACATACAGCGGTGTCAAATCCATAACAAGACAGGATGCAGTTCACTTTTTGGCGCAATGGCAGAGTACGTTGACATCGGCAGGCAACTAGCTGACATCAGTAATCAAGGTGACCCAACATACATTTGGTGTTGCTTGTTCTCCAGCTGCAACCAAGAACGTCAGTTGTGGTTAGAAGGCTTCCCTTAGCAACCCTGCAGTTGTTGTCAGGCACAGACGCCCCTGTAGCCCTGTTGAACAGAGAGTTGCGATGTCCCTGCAGCCAGACAAGGCAAGTACTATTTCCTGTGTTACTCATATGCTGCAGTATATGCATGCGGCAGTGAGTGATCTCTGTTTGTTGCATAAACGACTTGTCTGTGCATCCTATCACCTACTGAAGACTAGTGTGTGGCACAGCACCAGTCAAACACCATCTCCAGGGCTCAAAGTAATGCTTCAAGTCAGCATTGCAAGGGGATGAAGTTTTGCTGTGGTGCAGGGCCCGATGCTGCTGTCCTGGGCATCGTGGGCGATTTCTCATCTCCAGACATGCGCCGCATTGTGAGGGACACCCTGGAAGGCTGGATACCAGCCAAGGGCCAGCCAGCCACACCTCCTGTCCCTCCAGCATATCCCATCCCACAACAAGTCCATGCTGGCTGGGCCTTTCTCATTCAGCAGGACAACGTGGAGCAGACGAGCGTGGCCATTGGTGAGCTGGGGGTCACTCTAGGTGACCCGGATGTTCCAGCATTGGCTGTTGCCAGCAGCATACTCAATTCCTATGGTGGCCGTCTCTTCGATCAGGTGGGTGCAGATGTCTGTGTGCATATCATGCTGGCTGCGGCAGCTGTGTAACCCCCACTGCTGCAGATCTTCCAGTCACTGTGCTAGTTCCTCAGCCCGGCAGCCAGACTGCTAAACCTGTAAGCTTGGTGCAAAATGTGCACTGCTTTAGGTGGTGGTGTTGGCCCTACTCTTGGTGCTTCTGGGGCTAGTTGTGTGGTTGCAAGTTTCTTGCTGCCATCTGCAGTGTGTGGATGGTTGTAGTCCATTTGGTGCTGCGTCATCCAGAAGCATATGCATTTCCATCCATTCGATCCTAAACAAGGCAATTTCGGGAACTAGCTGCCACACTATTTTGGACCGAAACTGAAATCAGCCTAAAACATGTGGGAAGAATGTGACAAAGCTGCCTTTGCACCCAATTGGGGACGTGTAAGGGAGCTGGACATACGGACGTCAAGTGTTTCTTCTCTGTAATATTTTCGCCTTCATGTACACCTTCTGGGACTGAAAAGTTTCATGCGCTGAGCCATTTCGCCGAGAAACCTGCAATCCAGAAATTAGCAGACCCTCACTTGATTATCAGCTCGGGTTTTGATGATTTTACGGCTCTGCCGCATAGATGTCTCGACTAATGAACAAAATACAGGAGGCCATGCATTCGGGAATGAGCTGCCCTCCTGTGCTGTTGCCTCAAGAATCCAAACGAGACAAGATGTACTTTATGTTGTTATTTATGCCGACTCACATTGCCTAAAGAACATACTACAAAGTAGTATACTTCTTGTATGGCTTGGCCACATGATGAATTCCGGGTATGCTATGTTCTGCTGGAAAAGTTGTGCGCGCCAAAGCCCACTGGTAGTAGTGTTCGCTTATGATATTTCCGAGGTCTTGTACCAAACGAGGGCCTGATCAGTTGTTGTAGTGCGCACACCATGTTCGATGGGGTGGACTTTAGACAAGTTAACAAGTTCACCATTCTTCATTGTGATTCAAGTATTGCTTGAATCACAGTTGTCCAATGGACAGCGTAATAATGCATTTCACCTCATCAAATAGTGCTCCATTCAACTTCTGTTGCGTATTCTACTTGTTGCTGCGCCAGGTCTTGATTAAATCAATCGATCAAATAATGGACAAACCACCTGATCATTTGGTGCATCGACCCACTTATGGATATTCAGCTGATGCTGAAATGGGGAGCTCAACAATGCACAGCTCAACGAGCCAATGGTCAAAAAGTCACAAATCACAACGCGCATCGCAGAGAGGTGCGCTCACGATGTGCCCATCTGTGCTGCCAATGCAGCGACCTCTGGCCGCCTGTTGAGAACACTGAATTGACAAACCGCTCCATCTTGCATGCAGATCCGATCGAAGGAAGGCCTTGCGTATTCGGTGTCCTGCCAGTGGGACACGCCGATGGACCATCCTGGACTGTTCCTTCTGGAAGGCTCCACACTTGAGCCAATGGAATTTCTCAGCGGTGCCAGAAGCATTCTTGAAATGGCAACGGAGACTGCCCCCACCGATGCTGAGTTGGAAAGAGCAAAATCTGAGGCGGTGAATTCGTTTGTGTTCAATTTCGCGTCCACCGGCGCCCAGCTCAACAGAGCACTGGTCTACGACGTCATGGGCCTCCCACAGGTAATCCCTGCAATACTGGGGCCATAGTGTCGCGTAACTCAACAGTGCTCAACGGCAGAACACTTTGTGTGGACGGTGCTTCATGAGACCCCGTCGTGTGTTCGTGATCTTGCCGGTGTTTTTGATTCCGTTTTCTGCCAGTGTTGGCAACGCCCCATGTTTCAGGACGCAATCCGGTCGCGTGATCCTGGAGGTGTTGAAGAGCCCCTTAGTCCACGCACGGGTCTGCATTTGCACCAATTCGCTGTTGAGGGCATCCAATAATTTCTGCCCATGGTCCTTTCCCATGCGCAGCAGGAATTATGCGCGCGAAGATTGTGGCACCTTTTTAATGCACAAAATTTTGCCGTGGACTGTTTTTTTGTGTTTTAGGACTACCTGTTTCGCTACAAATCTGCGGTGGAGAGCGTGACCAAGGAAGACGTCGTCAATGCCGCCGCGCGCCACTTGCACCTGGCTGAGCAAACGGTGGTCATGTGCGGGGACGTCAACAAATTGAAGCCGGAGCTGGAGAAGCAGGGGTGGAGGGTTGCCTTGTACCAGCCAGAGTGAAGCGCACACTGTGGGGCGCAAAATTCTCTGTGGCAGCCCGCTGGCTACGGCAGAGTGCGGAGCCCATCTTATCCTTTTCCGTCGCTGTAGCTTGAGGGAGACAAAGCTTCGCCCGGTAGCCTGTATCTCTGTTCCCTAGTGCTGGGACAGAGTGCGTGGAACGGGACATGCGCACGGGGACGCGTTTGGAAAATGCTGCCGTGCTAAGGGAGCGTTCAGACATTTCAGTGATGAAGGACACCAGAGATGCGGTTCAGATTAAGCCAATGTCTCTTTGTCATGTACAAGTTACGACACTAATGCGCAGTTAATCCCGCAAATAGCTCTGGACAAGGGGAGCTATTGCTCTGTCCTATTTTGTCAGCTGCAGTTCAACGCATCGTCGCCATAGGGCCGCCCCCAGATGGCGTGTTCAACTTGACCCAACGTGACCCAATCCTTAAAACCAAAAAACGGCACTGCAGATATTCAGACATTGGGTCATGCTGTACCCATGGGTGTGTTGACGGTCTGTTCAGATTGAGTCGGTGCCTTGCTTGCTGCCAGGCCCACACACCAACGTGCGTCTCTGAAGTTTGGAGACTTCTGCAGTGAATGGTGCCCTCGGGCCCTCTTGCGGGGGTCGATGATTGCATTACAGAGACGTGACGACCTCATTGCCACGACCCCAGCAGCCAGGCATCTTCCCGAGCCCACCATTAGTAAACCATGCCCCGACCACACCTGCCAATGCGGACGCTCCCAAAAGCCCGCCTCCTGTCACGCAGCGTCACCACTTCGTTCTTCGCACACCCCGGCGCCGCGAGGCGCGCACGGTACGCTGCCGCCGTGCCCGCGACGGTGCGGCACGGACCGTTCTGCCGACCCCGAAGTGCGGCCTACCTCGACGTGTACATCATTTGCACGGGGATTTCAGGCTGGTGGGCATCCATCAGGGCAGGTGGGCGGCCACACGGCAGGAACCGGGGTAAGGGGGGGGAGATTCCATGGGCCTTTGCCGGGCGCTGGATCTCAGACAAAGGAGTTAATGCCTCCTTTGAGGCGCTGGATTTGCAACACGTCGGGCGTGGCGCGAGGGGACAGTGGCTGTGGTGGGCTTTCGCGGCGCGGTGCATAGGCTCCGTGAAGCTCGCGCCCCTTGGCCCCGCCGCGGATCCCCGCGCACGGCCATGGCATCTGATCATCTGCTGAGCGCGCGAAGGCCCTCCTGTTTGCGTGCTGGAATCTCCCGGTGCGAACGATTCTCCCGATGTGCAGTGCCATGCATTTGCCGCAGCAGTACCGGCAGTTGGCTGCGATTCCAAGTCTTTTCCGTTGCGAAAAGCGTTCGTCGCGCGGGATCGCGATAGGCGGCTGCGGAGGCGCAGAGAATCGCCGCCCCGCGCCCTTCTCCATGGCGAGGACGCCGCGCCTCGGCGGCGTCCTCCCATACGACAAATAGCGCCCTCCGAGTCTGGTCACCCCTCACGGCCGTGCTGCGTTCCAGGCGCCGCTCCCACATTGATCCCCACACGCCTCACGGATGACACCCTCGGAGGGTGGCTCTGGCTTCGCGGCCCTGCCCCCATCCACCGCCGATCAGAGCCATCCAAGCGACGTCCTCCCCGCGGGTGCTCCCGGCCTGTCTGGCGGGGACGTCAGGATTCGGCGGTCCGGAGGCCGTCGGGAGTTCCCCGCACTGTCCGATGTTGCACACCGAGGGCCAGTCCCCGCTGCGGTGAACGGTGATTGGGGTAATTCGGACCACCTGCCCAACGCCCGGCCAGCTCATGGAGGCACTAGGCTACCCGGACCACAGCTCCGGGGCCCAGCAGCCGCGGCGGGATCGGTGCCCGGCCACGGCGATCGGGGTGGATGGGGCCGTGTCCTCCCGGGGCCTCGTCACTCAGCAGCAACGCTCGGCTTCCGCGGGGCATCGCAGCTGGGCGCCCTGCCAGGTCATTCTGACGCCGGTCATCAACTCGGGAACCGTCGCTGGATGGAGGCAGGCGATGGGCTTGGGCATCGGCATCTGTGCGGCAATCTGCCGGCGCCGGTTGAGTATGGGGGCTTGAGCTATGATCCAGGGCGGAATGGAGCCCATGGCGACACTGGTGGGAGAAGGGCTCGGCTCAATTGTCCGTCAGGGCTGTACCAGGAAGGCCCATCTATGTGGCAGGAATCCGCTCATGCGAACGGGCAAGGCGAGCGTATGGCAGAGGGGGCGGCAAGTGCAGTGTTCCACCCGCCCTCTGACCCGGCACACCAGCATAGGCCATGTCCACGCCCCCAGTGCGCGGGATGGGACACAGTGAGCACAGGCACACATGCTCCTTACGTCTCTCATCATTCCTTGGACGTGCACAATCCGCATCTAGGGCTTCATGCGCCTTTTCCTGGGCATGGCGAGACGCCCAGATTTCCTGGCTACAGCACTGGTGTGGGGAATTGGCACCAGAATGTCCAAGGTTCACTAGGACATCTAGCAGGCTGTCCTGCTGGCATGATGTATGGAATGGTAAACGGATCTTGGTGGGAGGGACAATCAGGATCGGGTATGGCAACTGGCGCAAGGAGAGGGGCATGGAATGAGGTGTGCACCACAGACCACTGGTATTCAGCTGTGCCTCAACTGTTGCAGCCTGATTGCAAGCATGTTGTATGCCAGCAACCACGCAAGGAATCCATGAATGGCATGACATCCTGTTGCAGCTCAAGCATGATGAGCACATGACATTCCAAAAACAAACATCGATTGAATGACAACCATTTGGTGGTTCCCTTTGCTGCCTGGCTGCAACGAAATACCAGAAGCAGGGTTAAATGACTGCCGCACACATTTGCGGCCCTTTTGAACTGTTGGCTTCCACTAATTCGCTGACTGCATGGCAAGATGGTTCAACACTTTACTGGTTTGGTGCACCAGCCATCTGGCTGACTGGTCTGATTGCTGTGCAAAGGACACTGAAGATTCTTAATTGCCTGTTTTCTCCCAAACAGATATTGAATCTGGTAGCTTGTGAATTCAGATCACTGAAAGGCTGTTTGGTATCAATTAGACTCCACTGGCTGTATTGCTACAGGGTGGCTACAACTCGGCCTGTGAGCCCGCGGTTCCAATAGGGCAACACTGCTGGTGGCAACCTGGCATGATGGGCAGGTGAATACTCCTTTCCGATGGGAAGTGTGCTTTGGGTCTTGCAGGGTGTTCTCCAAAAGTCAGTGAGAGCTATGATTGTGGCGTGGAAACTATTGCAGTGTAGGAGCATGCATGCTCAGCTGCCACAACAGCACTGGCCTGTCAGCAACGCTTTGCCTTGTGGACCAAACCCTGCTCCAGCAACGAAGAAGTTCCATGTTCTGGCCTGCACAATTGGTGCATCTTGCCAACGCCCTTTGCCACCCAGTGGGATTTCTCTGTGAGAAACACTCTGCGTGTGCAGGCACTTTGCCAGAAGCATTCTGCTCAGAGTCAGTTGATTATTCCAGGTTTCTCAGAATATCTGAAAAGAAGAAACCCTTGTGCCTGAATCCCTATTCCCTTCAGGTCACATCCATGTTGTCACAGCCTGGTTGCTGCCAGTCTCTAGCAGGCCCTGCAGCCTTTTCTGGTGCAGCATTGGCATGCTCCAAGCAATCGCCACTCGGTGCTCTCCGAGCATCGCCACTCGGTTCTCTCCGTTGCAGACATTTTCAACGTTAGGTTATAATGCATTTGTCAAAATGTGACAAGGAGAAGCCCATCCTACTGGATTCAGTCTCACCATCTTTTGCAAATCACCTGACATGATGTACTGCACAAGATCCCATCGTTTCTTTCGCACCAGAGGCAACTGACTGGGAGTGCTTCAGTGACAGTGTAGTAGGCATGCTTTTGGCACATTCAGGCCTGTGAGCGACAAAGCTGGACCGTCGTGTATCATTCAACCTCTGACGTTGTATTTGTTTTGCAGTACGGTTCCCTTGCCTCCACCTCCGCAGTTTCGGCCCCTTGACAGCAGCTGTCCTTCCCGCGGTAGGGAGTGGCCAGACTCTGGTGAGTGCCTGTTTGGGTGCTCCTTCTAATCAATAGGTCACTTGTTGATTTCCCTGGGAATTACCCAGGTCTTGCGTTTTTCACCAAGCTTGGTTCTGCATTGTAGCTGCACAACTGCTGACTGGAATAGTTGGTTAAACTGTCTGTAGTTTTGGTAGGCCTAAGGACGCCAAGGAGTTGATTCAATAGAGACGTTTGTGCAATAAGTTCCAAGTGATGGTGTTCCACCTCTAGGGCAGCTTTCTATAGATTTGATGGGTCTGTGCCATGTGCCCCTGGTAGTTCCTGGATTGACGTTTACTGTGAAATTGTCTCTGTGCGTTGTGTTAAATTTCACCTGTCTCTAGGGGGTTTTTTGTGCCTGCACCAGGGGTTTGACTTGGCACTAACAGATGGATGTGTGCAGTGCCTAGTCATATTTGTCCACATTGTGTCCTGTCTTTGTCCATTGATTTGAGTGCTGTGGACTTGGCAGAAAGGAATGTGGACTCTAGACATCATGGGATGCACGTGGATACGAGCTGGTTGGATGCAACGCACAGATACTTGTGCGATATCGAGTTCGAGTTGAGGGCACAAATGTCTGGAGGCATGACTGATGAATCACATTGGGATAACCTGCGGCTGGCAGGTGCAGATCCTGAGGCGTTGTTGCCCATCGAGCTGGCAATGCAGGTCTGTGGATCGGATGTGATCAGGTTTTTGAGCTACTTGCTGACAGCTTGCAATGAATCGCTGCGTTAGGTTGTGCAACGTCAGCTAATCCTTTGCAAGTGTTGAACATAGTGTGCCATCTGCTTTGCATTCCTTTGAATTGGTGTTGTCCATTGGTGAGTGTTGTTGCTGGTGTACTTTTCCCTATCGGCTGGTTTCTTGAAGGCACATGCTTGGCACTGTGCGTTACCATGTGTCAGCATAACCAAATGCGATCGTTTTTGCAGGATTTGCTGGATTTTGAGGCAGCCGACGGCTTGGACGCGGAGCAGTTCGCCAGGATCATGGAAATCACGGTGGGCAAGGAGCTGACGATCGACGACCTGACGTCTCTCATGGACAGAGACACACCGCAGTGCTGCATCTGCATAGAGGGCTTCCGGGATGGGGAGAAGGTGCGCGTGCTCCCATGCAACCACCAGCACATGTTCCACACCAGTTGCATCTGGGGCTGGCTGAAGGAGCACCACGAGTGCCCCATCTGCCGAGGGGACCTCAACGTGCTCATGGAGCTGTTGGACGCTAGGCAGCAGTGGGCTGCCCCATCGACGATTCAGACGCCTGCTGAGCCAGATGCAGAGCTGGGACCTCAAGAGCAGATTGCAGACAGTGCCGCCTCCAGCCATGAGGATGATTCCTGTCCGCCGGAATGGCATTTGGACACCTGGAACCAATCCAAATTCGGGTTCCAAACGTGCCCATCCGTGGGAACGGCACAGGCGACATCCGCCGGTCTCTTTGGGCAGGGCCAGTGGGGCGAGCAGGGGGCCCAGGCGGGGCCCTCCACGCCCTCCAAGCCCCCTCCCGCACCGCAGGCGGCGGACTCCAAGCCCAAGGACGCCAAGTGGCCCCCGCCGGGGAGGTCCGGGGAGCCTGCGATCCTGCGCCCTCGCCGCAGCCTGCCGCTCACGGACCCAGCGACACTATCCGACGCTGTCGCATCGACCGACGACGGGCCGGACGGCAAGCTGGCCGGCGGGCCGATCGACAGGAGCCGTGTCTCTGCCCCGCGTACTTCCGGACGGGCGCAGTGTGGGGACGGGGCGGCCCACACTGCACTGGACGACTCTCTTTGCGCGCCTGACTCCGCCCCGGTCGCGCCAGTTGCAGGCTCCGAGGTCCCGCCCCTTTGCGGAGGACGGGAGGAGGGCTGTGCGGTTGTGGATCCGGCCTGTGAGCTCGATCGCGGCTGCCTGTCGTTCAGGGACCCCGTCGTGGCCGGGCCGCCTCGCGGGTCGCACAACAGGGCGGTGGGCTCCCCGGTGGGGCCGCAGCCACCGGGCGGGGGCTCGACGGGATTGGCAGGCGGGGCGCCGCGGGCCAAGGGGCTGATGCGGCACCTGTCCGCGGACGCCGGCGGCTTTGTGACGGCCGAGGAGCGGGCGCCGTGGCGGGCGCTGGGCGGGGAGGGGGTCCGCGGGCTGGATCCGGGGGACCACGGGCTGGACGGCGGGGGCAAGGTCGCCTGGGGGGCCTGAGGGGACGATTTTTCGTGAACACTAGTCGGATAATGTTCGGGTTGGAGTCGTGGGGTGCGTTTGCGAATCCCGGACGTGTCATCTGCTGTTTCGTCTGCAGACAGAAGAAAATGGCCAAAAGAATGTTTGAAAGGGGTGGGTGGGGTAGAGGCGGCACTCGGTGGTAAGATGGAGTGGCGCAGGGCTTGCAGGAGCGCAGGGTAGGTGGTTGCTTGCCATGGGTAGCATGGCGACTGCGCGAAGCGCCAGGATTGGCTGCAAGCCGCCATCAACCGCACTTGCATCCTTCGGCCGAGTCGAAGCTCGGTCGGTATCCATGGAGTATATGAAATTGGTGGTGGGTGGGCTGGCACTCTGGAACGCCTGGCGTTGAAAGCGGGGACACTGGCACCTTGGATAAGGCGATGACAATGTTTTGGGTGGAAGTCTTCGTTGAGATCAGACGATATCTGTTATGGTGAACAAGTCATCTCTTAGGGGGATAATGCATGACCTCATGGAACATGTCAAGAACATAATACACAACTGAATTGGCACTGAGGCAGGAGCAAGAAAGGCATCGGGGCACATGTTTTTTTTTTGGCCGGGATGTAGGGATTAGGCGGCTGCACGCCGAGAATACTGCTCACTAGTTAACTCCACGCTGTACTCACTGATTTTTTGTGATTTAATTTTCGCTCAATATGACGGTGAACGTGAGGAAATCCCATCCTGGAACCATGGAGCGACTTATGACCGTCATCTGCACCTCCGATGATGTGCAGATCTCAACTATAGTCTGGGCATACACTGAGGAAGTCTGTGCTGTCAAAGGGAACCGTTGCCAGTGTCGGCGGTGGTTCGTGTATTTTGAGCTGTGTGGCGCCTTGTGCCTCCCCTTGCCCTGAGCGCGGAGCTGTCCCTCCACAGGATGGTGGCTGCACAGCCTGGCGAACCAGCTCTGTTGACGCTGGAGCCAGTGTATGGACAGACATTCGTTGTGCCAGCTATGCCGCTGTCCCCATTTGCACGGCATACAAGGCCTGAACTTCAATCAACCTTCCTGATAAAACAACAGGGACAAAGGCCTTGGGCAGTGCGCCTGTCCCCAATATGTAGCCCAAACTGCACAACGCTTCCAGCCCGACAGTTGATGGCCTTCCCAAACGTGCTTTCCGCAATGCAAGACCATGCAATAGGCCAACAGGCGGGCGACTCCCACCAAGTTGCAGATGCAGCATTTCCAGCTGACCGATCTCCTGAACCCACCCGGTCATGTTCCCCACACGACAAGACATTTACAAAAACAGTGTCCGTCACCATCAACTCCAAATACCCGAGGTCCCTATACTTACCAGTTTGCCCTTTCGCTTCGCACATACTTCACGCCACTTTTCTCCCGTGACTAATCCAGTACTTCCTTCCACACCTTCCCCCCATCTCCCACAACTCCGCCGAAATCCACTTTCCAGGGCGGGAGGGCCGGGTGCGAAATAAAATAGGAGGGCGACCGAGGGGGAAGCCTAAATAGCCACCCCCGCTCAGCCCCGCCAAAGCCCGCCAAAGTCCAAGAGCGCCAAACTGACGGCACATTGGAAACTACGTACTTCGACTCACCCAAGGTACTAGAGGGGCCAGAAACCCGTTTGAATTCAACTGCTACCGATTTGAATCACCGGCGCAGCCCACCCAACGTCGTCCTTGGTGGAAACATATTAACAAGATAGTTAGTTCCATTCCCCCCCTCCCCTCCCTAATACAGCGCAATTTCCGCGCGCTTAGGGCCAGGACACGTCAACGGGATCCCCACAGAATATGTTGCTCTTTCTGTGGGGGAGGGGGGACGGGCCTGGCTCTGGGAAAAGACGCAGGGCCCCCATCCGGTGCAAGATGTGCCCAGCGGTGCCCCTGTCGGCACCCGCTCCCCGCCCGCCGCGAGCGTGACCCAAATGTCGCTCGCCAGACACGGCCGACCCGCCGGGCGCCCCGCGCGCCCGGCATCCATGCAGCAATGGCGGATTGCCGAACGGACGCATTGTCGCATGGTTGGGGTGAGGCCATTGGCGCCAGTGGCCCCAGGGAGGGGGTCCGCTCTGGGGCCAGTGAAGATTGGAGCCCCGGGGCGTCGTCGAGGGGATGAGCAGCGGAGGGCAGCGCTGTCGACGGGGGATTTGATGGCCATCGCCGATTTGCTGAAGGTGGGCATGGATGGCGGATGGTGTGGTGTTGTGTTGGCGTGGATCGGGGTGTGTGTTTCGGGATGTCGATTGAATCCCAAGATGCCTGCGGAGGAGCATCTCCGTCCTGGCAAGTGCATCGGTGTTGCGTGTGGGTGTGGAGGGAGCCATTGAAATCCATGATGTTGGACGTTCGGAGGCAATCCCGTTGGAGGTTGACGTCGAGATGCTAAACCTCCGCGCGACATGCAGTACGAAACCTTTCACAGCGGGGATGAGGCAGGACTGAACGGAAGTCACTGGAATACTCCCCTGCAAAACCTCATCTTGGAGACGTGATTCCTTCACATTTGTGGATTGAACCGAATTCCCAATGTTTTGGTTGGGGTGCCCAGAATTTCTATTGGGTATTGTTGAGCGCAACAGTTTTGGCTGGCGTTGGCGCTTCCCAACTGCATACTTTTGGACTGAAACTTGTGCCACAAGAAATACACGTCGCCGAATTAGGTGGGCGTTGCAAAAGAGCGCCTGCTGCCTGCTACAGACAACGTCCACAAGGCTGCCATTCAGGGCAGTGGTTGTGCGAATCTTGTCCATACTATTAGAAGCGCTGTTGAAGACGTTCGAGATCGTTGCTTTGGCTCCGAATGGCACTCAACAGTGCGGCTGCAGGACGCTTTCCATCAGGAGAAGTGGCTGAAGCATACCACCGAACTGCCCCCATTCAGTTCTTGCTAGACATGTGCTGGAAACTGAAGAATTGCTTGATAGTGTGTGTTAGCGTAGGCAGCTCACGATGTAGCTGTTTGAGCCGCAGGTTTGTCTTTCAAGACTCTTACAAAGCAGGGAACATGGCATCCCAATATGCTGTTGTTTCAATACAGGGAACTTACTGCTGATATTGGCAGTGTTTTGCCAAAGTGCACGACTTGTAGTGCCACGGACAGATCCTTGGATTGTAACAGCCTACCAGGAACGGCTTCGAATCCTCCAAGCCCCAGCTCATCACAAAATGAGCATAAGAGCATGAGAACTTTGCAATATGATCAAACCCCTTGGGCCTTATGTTTGCACTCTTGTGTTTGTGGTGTACAGAATGGGACAGCAACGATGGGGGCATACTTGGAGCAGGCTCCCCCAATGGCCTACTATTTTTACCTATTGGGAGCTGGCTTCGGACTGCCTGTAGGTTAGGTCACTTCTGTGGCAACACCCATGCAAGGGCAGACTGCCTGTGCCACCTGAGTTTGTGGACACCATATCAGCATCAAGATAATGCATGGCACTATGGATGGTTGCAGGTCACTACTTTTGCATAGCATTGCTTTGCAATGTTCTGCTTTGCTTATAACTGTATGCTGTGGAAGCTAGCACCCTCCTGGGCTCACGTTTCTGCTGCCTTCAGGTCAAGGTCTGTGTGTTGCACATGTAAGAAAGCCCCTTGCACCTGGCAAGGGTAGATGGTGGTATTGTATGGAATTCTGGGCGGTTATAAAGTTTGTCTCCGGTCAATTAGCCAAGATCCCATCACATGATGCTTCAACGTTGAGAGCCAGTGTGCTCATTGTACTTTAAATCCGACAGAATGTCTGCGTGGCCCAGAGCAGTCGTTGTGTCTGTGCAGGCACCCAGATGGATAGTCCCCCTTGCAAATGTTCAAGCGATCAGCCACCAATTAGCGTGGAAAGATCCCATGCGCTTTGAGAGTAGACCAATAAAAATCAGTGCAAGTCAGTCATTGTTGTTTCTATTATTATCTCCTGTGACATCGATTTCGAACACCCCCGAACGAAGGAAAGACAAAATATCCAGTTCCTATTGACATGGGCCCCATGTACAGAATCCAAGGGCGATCTCTGGAAGTTTTCTGTGCCTCTTTGAAATCTATCCACACTGGCCATATGTTTCACAATGGCTCTAGTTCAGCCAATCAAGCTCTACCACTCTGCAACAGATCCTGATGTGACATCGGTTTGCTCATGGACGTTGTGTGCTTGTTGAGTGGGCTGCAAACAGTGCAGAATTCCAGCATAGAAACAATGATGTTGCAACCACAGTTGATGTCATCTCTGTATTCAACATGGTCACATCACGCAATACAGCGTGCTTGACTGGGTTGTGCCAAGGTTGGCATACGTTGGCTGCATCCCAGGGTGCATGTTTGTCTTTTGTACTGGTGGTCAACCTGGCTTGGTGGCATGATGCAGTTCAGTGAAGATGCCCTGGTAGCTTGGATTGGCTCTCGCCTGTTTGTTGGCTTCTACCAATCATGGGTCCAGGTGGGGACAGTTCTGGCGTATGTGTACGCTGGAGTGGTGCTGAGTGACATGGTGAGTTGCACCTGGTCTCCCAATTGTCAACTCCCTATCATGAAAGTCTGTGTGGGTCCAGTGGGTTGCGTGTTGTTGCTTTTGGACAATGCACAGGCATGTGCATTCGAGCTTGCCGGCGTTCAATTCGGGTCACACCGGCACTGTAGGAGTTCTGGTACCTTTTTCTAATTTGTTCATGGGTACTTGCACAGTTGATCATCAACTGTCGATTGTGTAAAATGAAGGAAGAGAAGATCCTGAGTCTCACAAGTGCTGTATGGGGTATTGATTGGAATTCCTGTTGTTCTGTACTGTGTACGAGGTGCAAAATGTTTCCAATTTCAATTTTCGCTTTGCAGATCACCTTTGCTCTCGGGTCCCTGCTCAAGCGAGGCTTTCTTCAGAGTCTGAAGAAATTGCTCATCAGGGACTCAAACAACTTCCAACGTGCTGTAGAAATCATTCAGAAGTGGAGTGGGTCTGTGGGTGAGTTTACTGGCAGCTTGGTGCCCATGTTTTGCATGGACAGCAGCAAATGAGGCGATTGATTGTTGACGAACGGTATTCTACTCATTCTGGACCCTGCCACCACAACCCACCTTGCTTGCGTTGTCACATGGGCGTGTGTTCCCTGCTGTTTGGTTGTAAAAGGTTCAGTTCTGTCTTTAGCAGTGGAGGCAGCACTCATATAGAAAGGCATGTGTCACTATCCTTGACAAGCCCCACAATTCTAGCCCAGCCACAACACATGCTCCAAATGCGCCCCAGGCTGCCACGCCCATGAGGGGATTCGGCACATCTGTTTGCTGGCATGCTGGCTGTCAGCGCCTCGAACAAGGGGGGTTGCCAGAACTGTGCCAAGCTCGATGATGCTCATATAGGGCTTTTGTGCAGGTGCAGTACAGCGATTCTCCCTTGGTTTCCGAGGCCCTTTGTGCCTAATAAGTGGCTTCATGGGAGTCGACCCTGCACAATTTGCGTTGGGCGCCGCTCTTGCGGCACCTTTGACGATCGCCGCCCAGCTCTCCCTGGTAGGTGATGGTCACTGGTGCATGTATTCACATGGTGATAGTAGTGACGCTGTTGCAACATCCGGTGTTCTATTTGCTGAAAGGCTCTTGTGTGCATGTTAATGAGTTGTTGTGCCCGCTGTGCGGTGTCGACAAAGAGGACGATAATCGACCACGATGGGCGGTTTTGCTTGTGAATGGCAGTCGGGGGCAGTGCAACTGTACGAGCTGCAGTGTTGAGAAAATCACAGCTGTACATCCAAGTTGCTTGAGCTCCTGGACATGGGGATGGGTGTTTATCCGATTCATCAAGGTAGATTTTCGGCAATATCTTTTTCAATACCATTTGCAGACGAAAAATGCTGTCGACAGCAGTTTCGAACAACTATTTTCCAGACATGTGACTAGCAGGCGTGTGTTGCAATGCCTGACATGATGGAGGTGGGCTTGTGTCGTCATGTACTAATGAAATGTGCTATGGGATATGCAATCGCCTTCTTGTTTGGCATTTTTCCAGATTGTATTACCCCATCTTCTGCTTTGTATTGCAGTGGACGACATGGTTGTGATTGGTCGATGATGTGACGGTGATATGCCAAACAACAGTACAGAATTCCCTTTCAGAAAATCAGGCCACTCTGAGGAAACCAAAAGCGGATAAAGCACAATATGTATAAACTGTATGCATACGCCAACAGAGCTTTCATGTTGACCGGGCCGTTGGATTGCCACCACCATATACGCTGCGGTAGCCACTGGCGAAGAATCCCTGCATTGGCAATACCATGAACATCTGTGTGCTGCGGCGGCATCTTCAGGGCTATATAATCCGAGATTGCGGCAACGTCTATTTGACGACCTTGGCGCTGGTCGCCGGCCCCAACCTTGTGGGCCACACCGTCGGCCCCGTCTTGACAGCCACATGGCTGTTCTGTGTATCCAGGGCGCCCAAACCTGCGTCGCCAACTGATCCACAGGGCGCCTGAGCGAGTGGTGCTTAAATATGGGAATCAAACTGGCCCACACTGGGCAGGACAGTCCCCTTGCACCCTGTAGATTATGTTGAGAGGTGTGCATTTCACATCACGCCACCGGGCTGCATTGTAGCCCGGTCTGCCCCTGAGAGAATCGTGGATCCCGACTGATTTATTGGACAGCGCGCCATATTGGCTGGGTGGCTTCATGGGCGAGTAGGTTCTTTGAAGAGATTGTGTGCACAAGCGAGGAGGGGGACGGCCTTCAGCGTCCGATTTTGGCATTGCTGATTGCTTTGACTGTGAGAATGTAGCGTCATGCATCGCGGAGTAGGAGTGACCTTTTTAATGCTGCAATTGGCATGTATTCAGTCTGCGAAGATGCCACGCCTCATCTTGCGTGCATCCTCCCGCAGAGCCGCAGTGTTTTGTTGTTGCACTTGTAGGCATCATGCATCACAGGCAGCTGTGTACCACAGATGGGAGAATGGAAGGTAGAATGGAAAATAGAACTTGTCTGCTTCAGCTTGACGTGGTGAATGGCGTGGTGGCGCTGCACTTGATACCAGACAAGATATCAGTCATGCTAAATATCAGTCATGACACCAGTCATGCTTAACATGGACAGCCGTTCAGGGCTGGTAAACGACGATAGCGCATGCTGATCGCAACATGAGTACAAGTAATGGACCATTGGCGGCGCCTCTCACGCAGCAGACAGAAAACGCCGCGATCATCCACATCGCGTTGTTTGCACCCACTGCACTATACTAACAGTCGTGGGTAAGGTGGCAGTCCCCAACAGGGGCATTTCCAACCATGTTCCCAAGCCAACGTGCCTCCCCTAGAGGCTTTACACCCGGGGAACGCACCCACTGCTTCTGCTCCCCTCTCTGGCTGATGGCCACCACCATTCATAGAGGAGCTTGCATGGCGATGGGGTCCTGAAGTCGCTGGCAGTCATCCATGCCTTCGGCGAAGCAAGGTGCTGGGGTCGTCGAGCATCTCCACATAAACCCGTAACCCTAACCGGGCTTTGTCGGGCAGGGACACCATCAGTCCCCACGGGGTCTTTCACCCACAGAACGAGCTCCAAAGGCGCCTACCTCTGCATCGGCGAGTTGAGTAAAGGGCCGCCCTGAGGCCATGCGAAAGCAATCGGGCAGGCATCTGCTCTGTGGTTTTTAGAACGCCCCTGGCAACTTCTTTCTCTGGGCCACAGACATGTTATCGGGGCATGTTCTGAAACTGCACTTGGTACGGTCTGTGAACTTCCAAAGGGGATGCGCCATTATTTTTTGGCCTTTATTTCTGGACCATCTCGCCCAAAACCCAGGTCTTCTGCGAACGTAGGCGTTGGCTACTACCTATATAGCCCATGATGCTTACGGCTTGGTTAAGCTACTACGTGAGGCAATACCAACCCCATTGGTTAATGCATTGACATTGCAGCACATCCGGATTTCATTGGCGAACTTTGAACGCGGACGTCAATGTGATGTTCGATGCTTTTGGCACTGGCATGTCGTGTTGTGTTACAGACTTTCCTACCAATTTCAGGCCGTCACGTCACAGCACTTCAGATACTTGGCATGGTGACGCAAGGTTGCAAAATTGGGGAAGTTTGTTGTTACATGTTACATTTACAATGCCAGTGATTAAGTGTCGCCCATCACATTGGTTGAAGTGTTTGAAGCCCTTCGCATGCAAATGTACAGCGATCCAGTTCCATAGCCCCTGCAGGATTCGTTTGCGCCCCCCTGGTCTGCGCAGTTTGTCAACGGTAGCAACTTACCGTTCCATCGCCCCGTGCCCAAGAGCCACGCCCCTATGGACACATGGGCCCAGGTTTACACCTGCAGGAGCGCATCCCCACATTCTCAATGGAAATGGGGCCGACCATGCACTGTGGAAATGTGCACAACTTCATCCCTACATTGCCTCCAAAGTGCAAAGGCAGTGTTCTGCCCTGTGCTATTATTGCCAAATGTAATCGGATGATCTGGACAATGTTGTGCCCCGCTCCTTGGTGAAAGTGTTCGTGGGGCCAACCAGTGGCCATTGCCACTTGCAAATGCGTTGGGAGCCAAACCAATGGAATGTTTCAATGCGCCACATGCAACACACCTCAACTTTGTATTGACGAATTTCTATTTTGCACTGCTTTATGAGTTCTTGGCTGATGGGGCGATCGTTCGCGTGGTGGAATGACCAGTACCTGAAAATGTAACAGAGGATGCAGGCTTGGCTGGTTCGTGGAGAGAGACAGTTGCACAACCGTTGAAATTATGTGAATGCAGTTTGACGGGCGCCATTTTGGGTTTAGATCGAGTTACAATCATCGCACCTGTCCATCCAAAATATTTTCAAAACTTTTTGAATTGACGGGTTAGAACACATTTCCTCGTGAAGCATATCAGATACGCTGTGGCTTCGTAGCTGACATTGACGAAAATTGGCTGAGGCCAGGAGGGACTTCTGCAGAACCTTGTGACCTGCCCCACTTGGAGTAAGCGAATCCTGAATTTGCCGCGCTTAGCGTCAAGTTGACGTAAAACGGGGGGTTCCAGCCACTGACGATAAGAGATTATTAAATTGCACTAAAAACAGAATAAGGTGGGAAGATGCACTGAAAACGCCACTGATCAGTGGCAGACAGCTCATGGCTTGTTGCAAAAACTCCTTCAAAACTTTCCATTTTTCAGGAAGCCCCTGGGGTGGATCAGTTTTTAGGTTTGGGAGCTGCTCCCATAGCTATTGTGGTTTTTGCCATCGCATTTTCCAAATCACTGCAATCGCCACAGTTTGGCCGCTTTTCCCTTTAAAAACTATTTTAGAGTTGTGTGGCATTGCTAGGTAATGTTGCTGGATCATCCTGGAATCGAAATAAGGAGTGACGCTAAGGGGGTTACGTGAGTGGCGGGGCTCTCCGAGCCGGGTGTCGTGGGCACGGGCCCCCCGGGGTAGGCTGGTGGCTGCGCTCGAGGGCGGCCGACGGGAGGCGCGCGGCTATCGGTGCCGCGGCTGCGGCGCTCCGTGTGCGCTTGCGCTCGAGGGGGACGTTTGTCGGCGCGATTCTGCGACGTCGCGGCGGCAATGGAGACCATCGCCGGCGCCGATCGTCACGACCGCGATGGCCTGCGCCCAAACGCACGGCTCGGCGTCGCCGTTCCCGCGAGGGCTCCAGTCGGGCCGTGGAGCGACTCCAGAGCCTTCCAGCGCTCTGTTGTGGCAACCATCGGCGCAGCGACCGCGGCACCGTATGCAATGAGCGCGCCCCTCAAGACCAAGCGTTCGGGGCCCCCGGGCCCTCAAGACCAAGCGTTCGGGGCCCCCGGGCCCTAGAGTGAAGTTTTGGAAAGTGGAGAGCGGGTGTGCGGCTCCCACCCGGGTTGGGGGGCGTGCTTGAGCGCGAGCACGTGGTGGGGCATGAACCTCCGCCATCACAATCACAGCGCGGGGTGTGTGCCAATCACGTGCTGTGAATGTCGAATGCTCTTTTGGGTCGATTGAGGGCAATGCGGCTGCGGCGATGGCTTGCCAATCCCCCCCGTGGCGATGGCACGCGATGGCGATGGTGGTGGGCGATCCCGGGAGAGGCCTCACCAAACCCAGCGTCGGCTCTCGAGGTGCGGAGTCGTGCGTTGCGATTGTAGGACGCGATCCCCCGTCATCGCGGCGGCGATGGCGGCCAGCGCCAGCGCCGATGGCCGCAGCGGCGATGGCTCGGGTCCCAAAAGTCAACCGTCGAAGTTGGAGCCCCACGCGAGAGCTTTCTCCGGCGCGGGGAGCTGCTCCCTTTCCCTGAACGCTCTCTGCCGTGACAGCCATCGGCACGGCGATGGCAGCACGCGAGGCAATCACCGCCCACTTCAAGGCGAGGCGTTGAGGCCCCTGGGCCCAGGAGTGGGTTGATGGGCTTATTGCGGGGATGGGTAGCGTGGGTCCCGCCCAGGCCCATGGGCGCGCTTGAGCGCGAGGACGTGGTTGGGGTGAACACCCCCGCCATCGCGACTGCAGGGCTCGGTGTGGAACAATCATCAGCCGAGACTGTCGAATGTGATGCGGGATCCGTGCGTCGATTAGCCAATCTGGCTGCAGCCGTTGTTTTACGACCCAAACGTGCGGATGGAAACGGGTTCCGCGGAAGGGCTTCCCCAGTTCGCACAGAGGGTCCAAAATCTCGCGGCGGTGCTGCGCTGCCGTGGCAGCAGCGACGGTGGCAATGGACACTGCAATCAAAGAACAATGGTTGTCGAACAAATGAAATCAACTGCGCAACCCAGCCACCGAGTGAGCGGGCTCTTAATGGATGAAGCAGAAACGAAACATTGCAGAACGTCGGGTCAAAGGCGGTAGGATGCGGGGACAGTTTTCGTGCGGGCTTCGGTTGTTGTGCCACTGACTGTGACTGTGCACGCTTGAGCTTGGGAAGAAAAATGCAAAGGCCACCATTCAAAGAAGGTGCCCCCCTTTTCCATAAAGGAAAAGGAAACGATTGTTGCAGGTTCTGTTGAATAATGTGGTGACGACAAAAGTGCAGAACGTTGGGCATGTGAATCTGCTTGCGGATTTGTGGGAGGCCTTAGGCACCTGGTTGCCTACCTTCCTGGCGCCAGCACCCATCGCTTGCGAACAAGCAGAATTGTCCTCCAGGCCTGGAGGCTGGCCCCAGGAGGCCGCGAAATCGGCTTCCAAGGCGGCCTCCCATCCCCTCGCGAAAGCCCCTCCGAATGGTATCTAAAATTCTCCACCTCGGAGCCCTTCTCGATTTCCATATCAGGGGGCAGCCGGACCGCCTGTCGCAGGCGCCCCAGGGCAAGAACCGAAGGTGCCTGCCGAGGCTTTTCAGACAGGCATGTGCGGACGGCAATCAACGATCGCAATGGGCGACAGCAGGGCGACATTCACAGCCCGATCGGTGCATATTTTGCTCTATTGCTGAAGGGCGTGACGAGCAGGGGACACGACTGCTTTTCCAGGTAGACCTCGCGAGTGTGACTAGGCGTTCAGGCTTGCATGCCTTGTCAGGTACCCCGTCTAGATGCGGAGCACGGCTTCAGCAAGCTACGGCCCACCGAGTGTCCTGGGCCACTTGTGGCGGCCAAGTTTCCCAGCTGAAGCTGGGGTTGCCTTCCATTCTTGGCGGTACATCGTTTCCGCTGCCATTCCTTGTGCTGTGGCAGAATCCTTTTGCTTGCGGCATAGCAGACCGCGTCTGCAGGGGCAGCAATCCTCCCGTTCTGACTCTGACGATGTTATCATAGTGGTCGTAAGGACCCAGCGCACCTGGTAAGCTGGCCCGCTGTTGTTAAAATGGGTTTTCGGCCCCATCCTGACTCAGTTGTGGCAAAGTTTTTTTTTTTGTTAGCCTATCGTTTGTGGTTGTGGCCCCACAGAATATGTAACTTCCCCTTCTATGAAAAGACAGTTGCGAATAACGTTCCCTAATATGCATTCATGATTGGAGGCCACAAGCTCTCTTTGTTGCAAACGGCCTGTGCAAATGCAAGCTTTAAGTGCCTCTTTCGTGTGTCATTTCCAGGATGACAGTATTGTCGCCTTTCATGATATTCGTCCCGCAGCATCGGAGCACATACTGGTGATCCCCAGGACGCACATCGGCAGCGTAAAACAAATATGCTGCAGTGATTTGGAGCTATGTAAGTAACAATTGACGCTGTACGCTGTCCTTGAATGTGGCCTTTGCAGTTCACAATATGCCCTTCCCCACACAGCCATTTTGAACCACAAGCCCTTTAAATGTTGTTGTGGCACTGCTGCAAAATTTGAGCCACATGCAATTTGAGGTTGTGCTTAACTCTCCCAACGCAGTTCAACTCCTGCAGTACTCGGTTGGCACACTGCCATGCTGCACAATTATTCAGGCATGTAACAATGCCAGTGTCATACATGCCATGTTCTCAGTGTTCTGTGAGCCCCGTCTCCCTGTACTGGTCTCATTGAGGAGCAATATTACAAGGCAGTAAAGGTCCTTGTGGCTACTGTAGCTGTGTAACTGGCTCAGTTGGACCTGGATGGACAGTTTGTTGGCATACACAAGGGCATAAGCATAAGCACAAGTACATACATTGAATCCATTTGGTTAACACACTTGCTTAATGCACTTGCTTAACGCACTTGCTTAACGGTTGTGGCCATCTCCAACCCAACTCAGCTTGCAATGTGGACTTGCAAGAATTCCCCTTCCATATCCGAGATTTGTTGTTGCAAATGCAACAGGCCTTTTGGATGTTGGCTGGGACATATTCTTCCACTGCAAACAGGTCACCACCTTATCCTGAATGCCCCAAAATTACTGCACTCTCGGGGTGTCTGAGGACTGCATCCAAAGTACCAATTTATGAAGCGGAGAGAAGCAGGGTTCCTGCCAGTTTTGGACAATGGATGCTGAGCAATGCCCTACGTTGATAGCGTCGCAACCAATGACAAGCTTGGTCATTCCTTGTGTAGCTTATTGCCTACGGAATTTTTTCCTGATATGAAAGCAATTTTTGGAGAAACAGGGACAGCAGCATTGAAAGGTTATGCCTGCATTGGCAAAATCTGCACTGTTGCATTTTCACCAGATCGTTTGCAAATGTGGCAGTGATGAGGCTGCGAGATGTGGGCTCCAATTTGGTTGAGCAGCTTCACCCCGACAAGACTGCTGACGCCACCTATGGCTTCCATAGGCCACCATTCAACAGCATCAACCATCTACAGTGAGTGGTCCCCAGGACTATGTCGCTGGCAATGCTGCCACGGGAAGCAAAATGGCACCATAAGCACTGTTTAGGACTGCACAATTTGGCGTAGAGTAATCGAATTGGATAGTTTTGCTGCAGCTGTAGCCGCACTTTGCATCACTGGTACGCTGTGTTCGGCAATTTAGCATGATTCAAACACAGAATTACATTTGTGAATGATCAGCTTTAGATTTCGCTGTCCATCCGTGTTGATTATCACATATTTAATCATTGCAGTCATTGCGAATGTAGTCCTGACAGCCAACAAATGATCACGCGCAGTGCTTCCTGCTCCATATGGTTACAATATGGCTTCAACACAATGTAAGGCAATGTTCTCTGCATCGCTGTATGCCATTCTTGGCTGAATTGGCGACACAGGCACGAAAGCAATTGTTGTAGGCATCGGCAGAGGAGGCTTCATCGGCCCATTGCGACAGAATGTGGATAATCTGGACTGTAGGACGCAATAACTGGGGCAACACCGATCCAAAGCATACCATACTGATATGCATTCACGTGCTTAAGGGTCACTGGTGCACCCCTTGCCCCAAGGATTACCTGACATACGAAAGTCCACGAAGCTTTGGGGTGAAGCTGCGTCAAGTTCCCAAAATCATTGTGTGGGCTCCTGGCTGCCAATACTGCCTTGTGCATATCAGCTGGCTGATCTGATTCAGTCAGCGAAGTTCGCTTTTCAAGCTACCCAGAGTACACCATTAAACGAACATGGCTTGCAGGATAACAGTTGGCTACCATACGCGACTTGAATCCGTGCCTAAATCATGTTGAATTGCTGCAATCTGCACATTAACAGTGTGTACCGCTTTGATAATGGATCCGAAGCTGTGCCACAATGTTGTCTTCGCCTTTGCTCTCGTGGATTGTTTACGATCCATTTGGTCCCGTTGTTTCATGTGGTGCAGTGTTGATACACTCTTCTGAAGGGTGACAGCTGGTGAAAAGGAGCTCAGTACCAGGCCCTTGGCGTGGCTCCAACGGGGAAAGACATTGCGTGCCATAGACCGTTATTCTGTCTGTATTTACGGCAGGCCACGGTCGCGTTGGAGTCGAACGGGACTACCTCTGTGCTGGTTGCTTTGGATGTGCATTGCATAGCGCTTAGTGCAATTGCAGATAGTGTCCGCAAATATTGCTTCCGCTGACAAGAAATGGGCCTGCAGAATTTTTGCACTGCTATGTTGCAGCCTCCACTGCTTGGTGCCCCCGTTCAGCCCAGCTTGGAAGGAATGGAAATACATCCCGAACAGGTAAAACCCCTTTTTGTTATTGTTGCGCAGATACAGATCACGCTTGGCCATTTCTTGTGCCTCCCGATTCCGCGTCACTCATCCGAGCACGTGGATGCACACCAGTGATAGCCATTACAGGCTGAAGTGTTCGTTCTGTCAGAATCACCTGTTGACTTATGCTTTGTGTTGTACCTGCGGGAGTCATGCTGTGCCCTGATCGCCCCTTTCTGTGCGTTGCAGTTGGACGCGACATTGGGTGCCCTTCGAGGACGCATGCGAGTCGTTATTGCGTAGATGCAAAGAGCCGTGAATCCGCTGCGTGCGCGTCCTTGGGGGCATTTCCAATTGTATCATCGCTTCAATAGTGCGTCCAGCTTGTGGACCACGGTGTGTGTCCCATATTTGATTCACAATGGTTTTATTTCGGTTGAGGTGAGCGAGCAGCTTGGACCTAAACTATGCGACGGCAATGCGGCCATCGTTACCTTTCAAAACCGTGGGCAGTGTGCACTATTTGCGCACTAGCTAGATGGACTTATGGATGCTCTATGATGTTTTATTCCAGTTGTCGGCGATTTTTCAACTGTAGCCGCGAAATTGGCATTGGCAGGGGATGCAGACTCGTCAACTGCCACGAAGCGCAATTATCAGAATACCATTGACAAACCAGCGCCTTGTCCTGAAGAAGGCGCTCACTTGAACCAAACCGAGCTGTGCCATTTATGTCCTGGTCGCCATGTGAGCATATCTCCAGATTCCCCAGAGGTGGATGGCGGCCCCGCGTCTGGCAACTATGGTCAGGATCTGCGCATAATGGATTGGCGCTCCACGCCACCCCACTGCGATTCGCTGCGTCACACTTTTCGCAGAACAAGTAACGCTGTACAAAGTTGCCGCGTTCATTGCGCAACAGCTCACAAAGGAAGCGCCAATACGCGGTGAAAGCCACTGCACACTTATTCAACAACTGCGAAGTGGTGCTGCGGGATGAGCGAAGCCTCTGCCAAGGCAACGAGCTGAGAACTGAAAGCCATGGAAAGTGCTTTGCTGGCAGCCAGCCGCAGTGTGTGACGAGCCCTAGTCCCGGGCTTGTGCACGAGTGCTTCAGGAAATTCTGCACAAGTCCCATACACGCCGGGAACAGCTCTCACGCTGGAGACGACGACCTTCCAACTGCAACAATGTGCTGCGATGACCTGCTTCATGCCCTTTGAAACTGCTGTTGGGGGATGTTGCAAGAGAATATGGCCATTGCGAGGCATGACGCCCTGTGCGAAACTACGGCAGCGCAGCATCATAGTGCCGTGGGTCGGCCTCTTCACAGGCCGGTGCGGTCGTGTCTCACGTAGGAGCCGTCCATTGCGGATGTGACAGGTCAGGGCAGTAGCTACCATTGGTGGGCTGCACTGCTCTGTGGGTGTAGCGCATGCCCCGTTGGAGTATTCGTTTGCCGTTTCCTCTCCCCCTACAGCAGTCCTTGCCCCCTGTTCCAAGGGCGCGCTTCGCCACAGTGGTCGTAAATTCCCTGTCTCGAGAATGTTCCAGTTGGAATATACGAAATGGGATTTAGCCCCTAGATTCTGACGAAATTCATATTCTCACGGGAACAGGCCCCAGTTACAGTCATCGCAGAGGTATCGGAAGCGCAGTCTTGGGGGGTAGTGGGCTTAGTGCCCTTGTCGACTGCCGTACCTGAGCGCGCACCGCCCGCAGCGCGTTGCAGGCACTTTCGTTGGCCGTAGGCGACCTCTGCTTCGGGCTGCCAGGCGCGATGTGTGACGCTTTGTCGGGCAGTGCGCATTTGTTCGAGCCAAAGGTGAGGCGCACGTCAACAGAGGGCAGGGCCATCCCCCCCCCTCCCGTCATTGCTGGACGCTTACCTCGCCGTAGCGTGCCAGAAACTGAAGTTGAGAGGGCGGCTCGCGGGAGAAAACAGATTCTTTCCTTTGGCGAGCTGCCCCTTCGTGCCCTGCGCACCGCATCGAGGACGCAATGGGTCCGCAAGGAAGCCTTTCAACGAGGCCATTGAACGCCGAAGCTTGCTGTTTGTGTGGCTCTAGGTTTTCGAACTTCTGACGGCGGTGCAGGAGGAGGATCAAAGCCATTTGTTTGAACATTGGGGCTCCGTAGGTGCGATTGTCCATGCGACAATCGCATGGACATGCCAGTGTGGTTGTCATATTGCTTGCACGTGCGCAGCACGCGGGTGCACAATTTGCAAGCGTAGTTGCCTCTTGTAGGGAGCTGCATGACGAGTTCTCTTCTTGAGAGGCGCATGTTAGACTTGCGTTTTCTTCAATCGTTCAGATGCGCGAGATGCAGACAAACGAAGGTTGGCCTATCAGATCGTGCTCCTGGATCAAACCACCCCTGGAGGTATTGTGTCCTACATAAGGAGGGCAAGGGAACTCCTGAGAGACTCAAGAGACGGTGGGAACATCACTAGACGCTGGCTGCGTTGCCACCATAGGTGCATACCTTTCCTTTGGCGCCTGTCAAGCTGCAAGAACTGGGTGATTGAATGCAATTGACTCCAATCCAATGAAAGCTTTTTATCTCCTAGCACTGTGTCGCAACTTGTAGCCTGAGCATACCTGTTTGATGCACTACAGTGCATTCTTATTGTGCAGATATGTGACTTCATCGTCTTTGTTTGAAATGAATGAGTGAAGGCTTCTTTAAGTTCAATAGTGTTTGGTCTGACATCTCGTATTTTGCATGAGCAACAGAGTGCAATAGACATCAGACATTGTACTTGTCAGTAAACTGTACAGCATAAGCAACCCTTGCCCCTCGGCTTTCTGTCTGCCATTCTCCCACAACAGTTCAAAACAAAGGGAACATCAAATCAAGTGAAGACAATGCAGTAATTGCATGTCAACGTATTCCAGTCTTGGGAGATGTTGAAGGAATATGGACACACCCGCAAAGTCAAGTGGAACCTGCTAGACTGCCACCTAATTTGCCCATTGATGTTCATGGGGTTTGGGTGATGATGCATTTTCTGACTTTCACACCTGTGCAATGTGTCCCAAGTACATGTTCCCCAGCCTTTCACTGCGGGACATTTGCTGTACATTTTGTTCATTTTCTTTGCACTTGGAGTTTTTGCATCGTCTTCCACAGAATGGAAATGCGTATCGCTTGGATCTGAGATGGAGGCTGCAAGCCCATTTTATGACAAATATCCTTTGGAAGGACAACTCTTGATTTTGGATGTGCTACAGTCTAGAAACAGATGAAAGTCAATCAGTAGAATGTCAAAACACAGCCATTGTCAGCCCAGTTAGCATCCATGCTTCGTGTGCAAAGGAAGAGACAGTTCACAAGTTTGGAACTTGTCCGTTGTGGAACTGCTGCCCATTCTCACTTGCAGCCAACTTCAAAACGAGAACAGTACTCCGAGCGCTGTGCTTATCTGTGCCCAGGTGTTAACCCTTTGGATGGCTACACTCCAAGTGTGCCAGAGGGTGTTAGACTTGACTTTGGGAGTTGTGAATACAAAGAGCTCCAGAGTGCAGGTGTGCTGTCTTGTGAAAGGCATATATTGATATGTAGTATTGTTCTCACCAGTATTGATATGAGGCCAGTGCAGCTCACTAACCATGGCTTGCCTGAGTGTGTCTGGAAAAGTCACAAAGCATCTTGCAACCATATTTGTGCCTCCATGCTCAAGTATAATGAAAACTGCTTGTGCTTAGGTCCACACTTTCTTTGCACAATTTCATCTTGTGTTTTGAATTTGCAATGCCAGATGGCACTTGGGAAACTGTCTTTCGCTGCCCATATGTTCATGGGCATGATTGCCATCTTCAAGGATAGCATGGCCTGTCTGTAATGCAGGAGTGAGAGAACAGTCAAATTTTAGACAGATTGGCATATATTGGAACCTTGCTTTGGGATAAGGTGTGCTGGAGACTGCTCCTTTTGCACCCTCTGTCCTCTAGACATCAGGGACAGTCTTGTGCTGCATTGCATTTGGGACATTGTCAGATTGGAATGAGTAAAATGGCTGAATGATAGTTGTGCTGTGGCAATTGGCTGCAAGTAATTTTCCCTTGCTGAGATTTCGTGCTGCAATTCTGATGTTTCTTTGAAGTGGACTTCAACAGGTGCAACTGCAGCTGCTTCTGCAGCCTTTGTGTTGGTGGCTGGAGGCCTGGGTGAGCGCCTGGGCTATTCTGGCATCAAGATTGCGCTGCCAGCAGACACAGCACGTGGAGTCAGCTTCCTTCAGCTGTATATTGAGAGCATATTAGCACTGCAGGAACAGGCAGTTGCTAGGGGGCAGCAGGATTGTGAGCTGCCATTGATCATAATGACATCTGATGACACTCATAAACAGACAGTGAAGTTCCTGGAGGAGAATTCAAATTTCGGGATGAATCCTGGGCAGGTTTGTATTGGCATAGTGCTGTGGGGACCCATCACTCAGCCATGAAGGCCCAGCCATGACTCACATGCTTTCCTTTTACAACACATTGCTGCTGGCTGGGGCATTTTGTACATGTGTGGATTTGCAATTGTTGACTGCTGGTTCGACAGCTGGGTGTCCATTGTGTTGTTAACAGGGGGACCTCAGAGCAGAAATCTAAGAATCTTGCCCATTCATGCAAACCTTGCCATGTTCGCAGTTGTGACAACCTCACCGCACATCACCGCCCGGCAACTGAAGCATTCATGCACTCTATCATTTTAGGTCTTGCTTCCAGTCCATTACATCATTGTAAGACAGAAAAAGGCACAAACATTTGTCAGCGGGAATCTGGCACTCACAGGCTCAAGCCCATTTCAAAGATTGGGGCAAATTAAAATTGGCCTGCACATGGTAGGCCTTTGTTGATGATGTTTGGCCTGTGTGCGTTTTGTGTTCACCAGATTGCCCTGTTAAAGCAGGACAAAGTGGCCTGTCTATCAGACTCAAATGCTCACCTGGCACTGGATGCCTCTGATAGCTTCCGAATTCAGACCAAACCGCACGGCCATGGAGACGTCCACTCCCTCATCCATGCGGCAGGGTTGCCCCAGAAATGGCATCAGCAGGGTTTGAAATGGGTGTGTTTCTTCCAAGACACGAATGCACTTGTGTTCAATGGATTACTGCCTGCACTGGGAGCCAGCGTGCGAGAGAACTATGCTGTCAACTCGCTGGCAGTCCCAAGAAAAGCCAAAGAGGCCATCGGGGCGATCGCCAAGCTGCGGCGAGAGGACGGACATGAGATGACAGTGAACGTGGAATACAATCAGTTGGGTCCATTGCTGAAAAGCACAATAAGTGAGGAGGGGGATGTGAACGACGACTCAGGGTTTTCGCCATTCCCAGGAAACATTAACCAATTGGTGCTGAAGGTGCGAATGAGATTAAGGACTCACGGTGAACGATATTGATGTCTTCTTTGGTAAAGAAATGCCAATGAACTGACCTTAAATCTCTTGAATGGTGTTGAGCATTCGAGGCAATGCATCGCAATGGTTGCTTGATCATGGGGCAAACACTTCATGCAATAGTTGTTCACTTCGCAGTAGATTTTTTATAAACATTTCCTGCTTCCCAAAGGTGCTTTAAACTCCTGGGAATGGAAGTGCAAAATGTTTGACGCGTATGCATGCATTTAGCATTGTTTTTCTGTCTTGTCGCGCTGCTATTCCATTTTGTAGGATGTACGTAGACTTATCATCAGGAGTTGACTTGGCTCAGGTAAAACTTGTCCCAATAGCTTCTTTGGGGTAATCAGTCAATCTTAGCAGTGGTAAGCATGCTAGTATGCAGCCATGATGTGCTCTGAAGCCGAATCAAACAACCTAAGCAGCTTGTAGTTCCTGCAGAAGATTTACATTGTGAGTAGAGAGTCATGTTCTGTTGTGCTGTTGCGGCTGTTATGGGAATCCAGATGCTGACAACGATCACTGTGCTTTTTGTGCTTCTTGCGGCGTTTGACAAGGTGGATGAGTACGCCAGGCAGCTGCAGAGCACGGGTGGCATCGTCCCAGAATTTGTCAACCCAAAGTACAAAGATGAATCGAAGACTGAGTTCAAGAGCAGCACTCGGCTAGAGTGCATGATGCAGGACTACCCAAGAGGACTTGCACCAGATGCCAAGGTTGGCTTCACAGTCATCAATCAGGTAAGCACGTATCTAGGTGGTTTTTGTCCAACCTGTTGGATTCATTGTTGGGTGGAGAAGCTCCCTTGCACGCAGCCAACATGAACTATTGGTTTCCTGTATGTCATGCCGACAATAAGGCACTGGCTATTGTGCATGAAGTACAGATGCCAGCAGGCTGAAGATATGTGTTGGTCATGACCTGGAATCAACTACGCAGCTGCTCAGTGGACATGCAGTCGCAACCAGTGAAAGCAGCTGCCTTGGTATGTAATGTACCATGTGCATAAAGCAATTGAAGGGAATGAGTCAGTGGCCATCGTCAAGACGAAATCCCATGAAATGCATCAAATCTGGGCCCCAGGGGAGCTCCAAAATGCACTTTCCAGGCAAATCAGAATCTCAAGTAGTCGCTGCAACGTCCACAACTATATGTCCTTTTGCTTCGTCCTCCAACTGCCTCGCATTTGGTATGCCTGGCAGTGCCTGAGAGGCACATGGCCTGACTTGCCTCGTCCTGAGGAACGTAATGCTGTGAATTGCCTCATAGGTGTGGTCAACATATTCACCTGTGAAGAACTCACCAGAGGCTGGCCGCTTGAAGGTTGCGGCTAACTGTCCCTCACATACAGGCACATCAGCTGAAGCCGATGTGTATCATTCTCATTGCTCCATGCTGAGGCAGTTGGGTGCCCGTGTGGCAGCTCCAGAGGCTGTACTGTTCAATGGGATTCGAGTGCATCTAGGGCCACGCATTACATGGTCGCCATCTTTTGCTCTTACATTCCATGAGCTGGAGGTAAGGACACAATCAGCCCCAAAATGTAGTGCGCATATGTGCAGTGCATGACAGAGCCAAGATGCCCACATTCAAGAGATGGTCGTGAACAGCTGGATTATATTCTTGCTAATGACTTAACATATCAGGGATTGTGTGCTTCTGAGTACTATTCTGAGACATGATTGGAACTGATTTTCTGTGCCATGTCTGCTGGGATGCAGATGGTCAAGGGGGAGTGGATGCTAGTGCACTCGGTGGTGTGTCTGACCCCAGTCCATGCAAGCTAGTCTCTGGATGCTTGCAAGCCCGACAGCGTAGCATTGCTGTTGGTGCCTCAGTGCTGTACCGAATCTGTTCCTGCCAGCTATCTCTGAAAGAACTCACCAGCAAAAGGCCATGGACTGAACGTGGCGCCCATCATGAGATGAAATTGCAGTGTCTGCACAAAATGGGGAATTGCCGGCACAGGGCACAGACAAAATGCTGTTTGATGGTGGATTTTTGTGATCCAACACCTGGGAAAGCAGCTGAGGTTTACGCATCGTGTTGTGTGCAGGAAAAACTAAACGCAGCAGAGTTGAGTGTCAGCCAGAGGTCTGTTCTCATTATCGAGGGTGCTGATGTCCACATCGACTCGTTGAAGGTCGACGGAGCTTTGTGGATCCGCTGTGGAAAGGGGGCCCAGGTTCGCATGCAGGGGTTTAATGTGTGGAATGCGGGGTGGGAATGGCAACCGCTGGACGACACGCATCCAGGAACGGAACAGGAGCAGATCAGGCAAGCATTGAGAGTGGATCTTCAAGTGCCTTCCTTGCTGCCAGACAGCATCCTGCAGATTGTCTTTGCACTGGACAGAAGCTTGAGACAGGGGCAATGTTAACACCCTGCTGTATTTTTACTCTGTCAGCTGCCCTTCTGGCACCTGCCATAGATTGCTTGTTGTCTCAACACAGTATTGTCCAACACAAAGTGTATTGAACTGTGTGTGCCAGTCAGGGAACGAATATGAGGGCATTCTGACATGGTTAGGCTCAAGAACATGACTGTTTCGATGCTGCCGGTGGCACCATACCTGCAACGTTGACAGACATCTGTATTGAGGTTTGCATCTGCTGTGCTGTTATTTGTCACAGAGGATTCCATGTCAAGAAGAATGAGACAGCATATCAGGATGTCTTGGTCGCTGTTCCTTCGCAGCGTGCATGATCGGCAAGTGCAGCCCCAACCCCTCCTCACTGTAGGCCACATTTTAATTGGTGAACATTATCTTGTAATTGCAAGGGAAATGTGTTGTACAGTCGGCTCTGCCCTTCTGAGCAACAAGGCTTCGCAAAATCGGTATCTATGTTTGGAACTTCACCGAACATCACAGATACCATTGTGGCAAGAAGCAGCAAGGTGGCAACATGCTCACATTTGGGGATAAGTCAATATTGTTCCACTTGTGGGGTAGCAGTATGCACCACCAATGTTTCCTTGCCTTGTTGTGCTCATTGCTCACCTTCGATCTCTTTATCCAGTGGCTTCACCAGCAGGCACACATCGTGGACGGCCTTGGCCGGGGCCAGTATTGGGTGCAGGCATCCCAACTTGAGGTGCATGATCCAAACCCAAAAGTGACGAGCTCGTGATTTGCTTGGCGGTTTGGAATCTGAATTCAACCTCTGTCAGCCAGCGTCAAGGATGCTGCACAGTGCTGTCCCTGTGCCACTGTGCATGTACAACAGGAAGCTCACCACTCACAACAGTGCTTGCTACCAGCCCATTGCAAAAAGTTGCCAGGTGTCTTGAGGCACCTGCACATGCATTGAATGCGGGTGGTACCTGCAATAGGGCAAGGATTGAGTGCTTAGTCGTCCCCACCAAGACTAATGTGGACAGTGACTAATGTGGTGCATTTTGGCCATTGTAGTATTGAGCTGTGAAAAGGGCTTTGCCATCACTTACGGCCATCCGAGTACCTCGGGCTGTACGCCACCATCAACGAAAACGTCTGCATCCAACTGCCTGTAATCCAATCTGCAGTCACAAAGCAGTGCCATATTGGTGCATTCTCCTGAAACAGTGTCGTTGCTTTGCCTTCTGTCACTGTGACCCAGTAGTGCTCCTGGACAGCCAGTATACCGTTTGTCCAGATTGCTGACAAACCTGCCCTTGTCCCCCCCCCCCCGAAAAAGTCCAGACCAATGCAAAGATGGACAAAGGATTGGCTGCTGCCGCCTACCGCCTTGTTCACGTGATGCCCAGCCCAGCAGCACTCTTGCCAGTTGATTGCTCGCAAGAAATTGTCGATCGCCATGGTTTTGGGGGGTGTCCTTGTTGTCCTGGTGCTTTGGCCTGAGACACGCAAGCCTTGCTAACCCCTGGCAGTCCACAACTATGCTCGCAAGGGATGCAGCGAGTGGACTTGGGCTAAGGTCATTTTGCACCAGCATTGACGAACAAGAAAGAGAAAGCATGAGTAAGCCAATAGCGTACCTTATAGAGCATCTTTATCGGTGGATGCTATTGTCCCGGCGGTGCTATTCGGCTATTCGAATAGCACCGCACGTCAAAAAACCATCATTAACGGTTGGTGAGCAATAGCACCCCAATAGCACCGCTGGTGCTATTCAGCGCCGAGCGGTGCTAGTCTGGGCCCGAACAGCACCGCTTGAGGCCAAATTGCACCCGGGAATAGCCACCGGTGCTATTCGCGCAGAGTATTGGAGTGCTGCCGTGATGCTATTTGGCGTAGGAATAGCACCCACCATTGCAGATGCGCACAGGGGAGCAATTGTGCACGTGTACCCCCCCCCCAATGTGACCGGCATCATTTCCGGGCCCCGGCCCGCCCGCAACATAAGGTTCAATGTGGCGTGTACCGTCCATCACCCGCTTGGGCGACTTGGCGCACGCGGCGGGGGGCGCGGTGGTAGACGGTACACGCCACATTGAACCGTATGTTGCGGGCGGGCCGGGGCCCGGAAATGATGCCGGTCACGTGGGGGGGTACACGGCGGCTTTAACGAAACGCATTGCGCAACGGTGCTATTCCGCAAATGCCGCCTTAGTAAGGTGTCACGGCAGCCAATGAGAACCGGATAGCTCCGCCGGTGCAATAGCACCGACCGATAAAGACGCTCTTAGATGCCCGTGCGCGTGTCAGATATCGGTGTCTGCCTCCGTGTGACCTCCACCGTACCAGGTCGAGTATCTATGTCAAGTACCTGTTGTGTGGTGTTACCGCTGTGCCTGCCAGTACCAATACGCCCCCAGCGCGCATTTGCTCAATCCCCACGAGGTTGCTTGGCGAGAGAGGGGCGCAACAGAGCCGGCCCAGGAAGATACCGCACTGGGCGCCGCGCCGACTGTCCCGCCGTTTCTCAAGGCTCGCCTTGGCGCCCCTGTCCCGACTAAGGCGGTTGCCACACTGCGTCACACGGAGCAGTCACACGATGGGCCCAGGCCTTAGCTCATGTTTAGCAATTGCGCTGGAGGGTTGAGGAGGCCACCCCCGCGGGACGCAGGCCGAGTCGGAGGAAGGCCGAGAAGATGCGAAGGGAGGGCGGGATGAAGGCGCGCACTCTGCTGCTGCTCGCCGCGGCCGCGATTGTGTCCGTTCTCCTGATTTTCAACACCAGATTTATGAGGCTCACTGACCCAGGTGCGTGGCGCTGTTTTTTGTGCGCCCCATTTGGAATGGCGCTCTGTGGCCAGGTTGCGGCGCTCGCAATGGTTAATGGGCATCGGGACGTGTCTGCCGGATGTTTTTTTCCTCCGTGGGAGAATTGACGTCTCATTGAGCCGTCGCCGTCAATTTAGAGTGGACATCAGGTTGTCTTGGCCAACGCTGGATGGATGCATTGCTCCACACGCGCATGAAGCAAGTTGGCCCGCTATCAATGTGACGCATCGCTCGATGTGTGAGCGACATTTGTTGACATGCCAGATTTCCCTTTGCCCACATTCACTGAGGTTTAGCTTTCGATTGTCAGCGGACCTTCCCAGCTCTGTATCTCTCCATCCAGCACCGTTTTAACACAAGACGTGCCACAAAACGAGCTGGGTGCAAAAGCACTGTGATGGCACAGATCATTACTGCTTTACTTGTTGGAGTATGTGTGCACCTCGGTGAACAGTTATCTGGTGAAAAGGGAGACGGTGACAAGGGGAAACGACAGGTTCTGGTTCATGCTGCATTGTGTGTGTTTGGGATTTACTTTGTAGTAACACTGCGGGCTGCCTGTTACACTTGGGGAGCTTGTTGCACGGAGGACACTGCGCACACAAGCACAATGCCAGAGGTCCTGCTGTTAATAATGAAGAAAAGGTAATCCTATCTGCATTGACAAGTTGTCCTGACGGTGCAAGACACACCGATCATGAATTTCTGTCAGGCGTCTGTTAGATGGCCCTGGGACCCATTGAATTCAGGTCATCAGCATTGAGACTTTTGAGCTGGGTGTCCGCCACTTGCAGAGCCAGCCTGCTGTCTTTGCAAACTCAGTGGCTCCATGCTCCTGCCCTGCAGGGACACGTTGTGCGAATGGTCAGCTCTTCTGCAGGCCAGTGCACCTCCTACCTCAGGAGCCCCTCCACAAAGGGCACCAGGTTGCCAAAGTGGAGCCCAAAACCTGTCAACTACTGAAACTACAGTTTGCGGCGTCCTCTGAGAAGATCTCAATATTGTGCCCCAACGAAGATAACTTCAGGCCAGCAGCTAGAGTGTTCAATTCTAGGTAGGAATGCAGTTTGAGGCCTGGGAGTTGGAAAGGGAAAGGAGAAAGGGAGCATGTCAGGGAAGCACTGCTGCCACTGTGCACAGCAACCCTAATCCATGGCATGCCAACAACGCCCATATCTTTGCCAGATTTTTTGTGGTTTGGTGGGACTCATCTGCCATTCGATGCCTCTGTGCATCTTAATGTCTTGTTGTGTGGACTGTAAGCTGGCTGGCAGACGCCACTGCTGCTCAAATAGTGGTTCTTACCATTCTTTGTGTAGTAGTTCCGACCTATAAGGCCAAGGCATCTCTAAGCAAGCAGGGGACTCGTTCATTTCCACTGTATGTTTAAAGGGTGTTCCTGCTGTGCTGTTTTGTCCAACAGCTGTGGCTGTGCAAGTTTGTCAGGAAAGCTGTCACAAAGCATTGAGTGCCAAACTGACTGCCAGCTCCAGCGGCTGTCATAGCTGCACAGTTGGCTGTCTCTATGTGAGATCTTTGGATTGCAAAGCGCTCTCATTCGCCCAGCCCTTACAATGTGAATCCCATTGGCCCATTCCTGTGATGAGGCCAGTGCATCGGTCTTCTGCTAAGGAAACAAGCTGAGAACTGGCTGTGGTCACCCAGATTCTCAGACATCCTCCCGCATGTGGTGGTTCAGCCCCGCACCGACAAACACATTGTAGCGGCCCTGAAGATGGCCAAGAAGGAGGGTTTGATGGTTACTGTTAGAGATGGAGGTCACAATCCTGCAGGGATCACTGTGCACCCAGGTAATCGGGGCTTCACTTGATCCATGTTGTGTATTGAATTTCCTGAACAATTTACCCCTCCACAAGCCAAAGCTGTGCACTTGCTGCCCACTTTTGAGTGCCACATGAAGCACTGTAGTTGGACATTTTGTTGTGCATTTGCTACCAGTCAGGCCAGTCGTCCACAATACTGCTGAGAGCATGGCGCGTTTTTCTTTTAATTTCTGTGGCATGGTCCAGGGCAGGCACACTCACCTTGCACTTGCAGATCCTGTTGAGAAGAGCAGCATTTTGCCATCAGCAAAGTACTGGCCTATCTGCCATTTTGCATACTGCCAGTACTGTAGTGTTCAGGTATTTGTCTAAAAAGGCTTTCACAAGCAGATGTGCAGAGTTCTGCAATATGTCTACCCTTGGCTTATGCGGGGTTGCTTGTTGGCACTATGCATTGCCCCAACCTTGCCATAGTAATATCTTTCTGCAAATGCACCTGTTGTGTTTAGATGTAAACATTGTAGGTGATGCAGGGAGTCTGTGGTTTAAATGTACACAATGCAGCTGTCTGCCAGTTAAGAGGGACAAGTGAAAGGATTTATGCAGATTCTGACACTGTTTCGTGCGCAGGGGCAATGCTGATTGACATGAGCCTAATGAACCAGATTAGTGTGGACTACGACCGTATGACATTCACAACAGGGGGTGGTACCTTGTGGACTGAAGTGCAGGACAAGATCATGCACAAGAATGTGTCCGTTGTGGGTGGCGGATGCCCAACGGTTGGTACTGTAGGTCTTGCCCTGGGTGGAGGGCTCTCATGGCTCTCCAGGTCTAAGGGACTTGTGTCTGACAATGTGCTGCAAATGAAGGTAGGGAAATGAAGGTCCCAAAACAGTGCTGAACGTTGTGCAGCTTGGTTAATGTGTTCAACAAAACAAAGGCATCTGGGGCTAAAATGCAGCGCTGTTATGGTTCGACTTTAATCATTCATGTTTGATGATTGAATGTCTCACCCATGCTGGCCGACAAGGAACAGCATTAATGTTTGGCGATGGCCATCCCGATTTGACTCAGATGTGGTTGTGGACTCCATGGCTTCTGCATCATCATTCACAGTACCGTAGTATATTCAGCCCTTCTGCATTTTGACATTTCCGCATTGCTGTATTTGCACCGCTTTTTTGCGACAGACCATTATTTGGGGGCTCTGCATTTGGCCACAGCCAGAATAGCGGCTCTGTGGAGTTTGCATGCCCTCAAAACCTGGTATTCTGCCACAGTCACTCTTGCATATGGGGCTGCCAGATGCCATGAGCATTCCAGAAACCCTCGCGTTGCGGCTGGTGCTGCTCCAAAATTTCTCAGCATTGTTACGTTTAATGTTGCTCCGCATAAAGGCCAAACGACATGGTACAAAGCGGAAGGGTACAGTATACTGTGCTATGTAACAGGGCTTCAAATTGAACACTTCCACAGGAGGGGAAGTAGCCACTGTATAGTATGGTTGTGCTGTGCTTGCAAGACAATGGTCAGCTGTGCAATGGTGTTTGGTGCAGTGTTTGGAATGTCAGTAATATGCCTTGCAACGAGTTTCCTGACGAGGGTGTGCATATCACCCCTGGCTTAAGCAGTGGTCGACGAAACCGCAGAAAGCAGACACACATGTTATCTTGATGTTATCATCCAGACTGGCGGATGGCTTTGAGGGACATGAGTGTCTCCAGAAGAAAAGAGGAAGGAAACAACCTGTGGAGAAGTTAACTGAGAAGTGGAGCATAATGATCAGAAAGGTGTTGATAATGTTATGCCAAATGCAAAACAGTCAAATGGTGTCAAGGAAGCGGTCGGGCCTCTGGAACTGCCCTTTTGGTCAATGTTTGCAGACAACAGCCATGGTAACGCCAGTCAGAGTAGAAGCAACAAGTGTTGGGGAATGGCATCTGGCCTTGATACCATGCGGCAAGCTCAGATGATAGTGGGAGCCTCAGTACTGTGGGTTGTGTGGTGTGGCTCCCTTTGAGCTTGAGGCACTGATCTTTAGGTGAGTGTTGTTGCTGCTAGGTGATCATGCCCAACGGCAGCATTGCCATGGCCAGTGAGTCTACAAACACAGAACTGTTCTGGGGCCTTCGAGGTGCCGGAGGATCGAATTTTGGAGTTGTCTCAGAGGCCACCTTCAAGCTGTTCCATGCGGAAGAGATGTACTTTGCTGGGAGCCCATGTTTCCCAAACGTAACTGATGCAGCCATGCTTCAACAGCTTTTGGAATTGTGGTCTGATGCTGTCGTTGAACTCCAGGTGAGTAAGTCCTCACTAACTGTATTTACCTAAATGCACAGTTGTACATTTCATTTTCATCCATTAGGCAGCCATTATGCAGGTGTTTTTCTGTCAACTGGCTACTTCAGCTTGTGATACCAATACGAGTTCTTAATTAGTTTGATGGCTTGTGCTGCTTTTCTGATGTTCACGGGATTGTTTAGTGTTGCTGATGACTGCATTTGCATTGTATGCTGGTCTTTGCTTGGTATTAGCTTTGTCACCAGCTGTTTGCACACATTTGAACACCGTGTGTACTTGCATTTGCAGGATCCCAGAGTTACTTTATGGCTAGTCACATCCAACGGCCATCGAAATAAACCTTCAAGCCCAGCCCTCAGGGTGTGCATCGCACTCTTCTTTGATGGCCCTGTAAGAGAGGGAGCAGCTGCCAGCCAGCCAATACTGAGCCGTTTGGGGCAGTTTGCAGATGAGCACCCAGATCTGATGTGTGCTTCCTTTCCTAAGATCTGTGGGTAGGTTGCTGCCATGGCTGTGAAATGCATCCTTTTGGGAACAAGGAAAGCAGGGCATGCATATAGGCACCCTTATATATTGAGACAACAATGCAGAAATCTTTTGTGTACTCCTGATGCTTATGTGCAAGTCTGCTGGAGTTTGGGCCTGGGTGTGCAAGCTCCACGATTTGCAAGTTTAGTATGCTATCCCTGCACCCTGCTGCTATTTCACTCTGCAATGGCCTCAGATAGGTCTTATTGACCTATTGACACACCATCACGTTGGTTGTGGTAAGGTTCGATCCGCTGTTGATATTTGGTGGGGTGGGGAGCTGCAAACCGTTGCAGTATTTTTAACATTGTTGTTTGTGCAGTATATATGATATAGTTGCGTCAATATGAGTCTATGAGTGTGTTTGGTATTGAATGCAGGCACTGCTCTTGCATCTACAAGGCAGTGACGGGCATTTTCAGCAAACCTTTATTCCCAATGTATCCACGATTCCCACCAAGCACACACATAGCATCTCTAACTTTGTGCTGGATTCAGTAGAGCACACCCCATTGAGAGAATAATGCAAGGGTGCAGATTCCCCCCGGCGATTTCTCAGAAATCTTGTGTCTCTCATCTGACAGGATGGCCAAAAACCCATCGACCAGGGGCAACGTACAGTCTGTTGGAGATTGGTTCAGGGAAGGACAACCATATTTGCAGGGCCACACATTCATTTCCTGGTCGCGTAGCATGGGTGCCAACAAAGCCCACATCTACTGGAAGAGTGGGTTCATACAAGAGATATCACCTGTGATGGCGAAAACTGCTGCGGACGTCCTGTTTGATTTTGATGACAAGAATGTCCACCCCAACACAACAAAGGGACTGCATTACCAGTTCCAGATTGAGCACTTGGGAGGTGCGAAAATGTGGAGTGTATCCCAGTGCGGAGAGTGCGCTGGTCTTGTTCCCTTGTTTGATTTCAGAACGATGGATCGCATTTGATTGTGAATTCGTGGATCCCATCCCAGGAAATTGGGTCTTGTGCAAATAGCCAGGAAACTGCGAGGCTATGTGCCCCCAAAAGAGCCCAAATAGACGAAAAGATTGACTACCTGCAAATCAATGCGCGATCGGAAGGAAGTCTGACACTGTAGCTGGCCCCTGGCCAATCAGAAACTGTTTAGATGGGCTGGAGCTGTTGCTAATCGAATGCCATGGAAGATCAACAGTAATTCGCTTTGCACCTCTATCCCGTGGTATAGAATTCAGTGTGCCCCTGATTGCGATCATCATTGTCCATTTGAAGCTAACAGATGAAAGTTGAAAGAATGGCTAGCCTGATGCTCATAAAGCGGTATTATTGTGCTCATGCTGCAGAAAGGGGTGCTTCGAGCAGAGTGCCTAATGGAGACCGCATCCTTGACCGTGGGATGGGTGCCGCCAGTTTGCAGCAATGTGGACCTTTTGTCAAGATTTCTTATTATATTGTACTTTCTGATTGTATGGCAGGCTCAAAATCATGAGCTGGATGTGGTCTGAAAGGGATGTGAGAATGGCATTTAATGAAAACTGTGGTGGTAGTTCTGTCTGCAACCTTCCTGTAGGTTTGTCCGTGGCCAGTAGCGTCCTATGGTTGAACAGCCTTTTGCAGCGGCCATGGTTGTTTGCCGTTCAATGCTCATGGAGTGGATATTAGTTTTCATGATCGACAAGGCACCTGAGAGAAAACCAGTACTTTGTGAGGAGTGTGGATTCCGTGTCTTTGCTCTTCATCGGATCTGAGTTAATCGCTTACGTGACTAGTTCTGGATTGTGGAGCTTCAGCAAGGAGAGTGTGGGTCGTGATCTATTAGTTTTCTTAGGACTGACTTGGGATCAGGGAGTCAGGGTGCTAAAGTGCTGCGGCTTGGATGATAGTGACTCTGTAGAAATGTGGAAAGCCCTTGACTGCAGCTCTCTGTTTCGTATGCAGGTGCCATTGCAGATAAGCCCGCTAATCACAGCTCTTATGCTTACCGATCAGCTCGAATCCTGTGGGCTATTCAGGCTTACACTGTCTACCTCCCAACAGCGGAGCAAGATCGCTTGATGGAGCGATGGTCCGCAGAAGCAATGGCCGAGCTCGAGCCCTTCTTCAGCGTGAGTTGCCTTTCCTTCCATAGAATTCTGTCTCCGCATTTTTCAGCACCTATTTTTCAAATGATTATGACGTGGCAGCGCAATGCATTGGTGCCACGATGCCCCCATGCCGTGGTTCGCTGTTGGCTCTCCAGTCTGCGCACAGCCATTTGTCCATGGACTCCCACTCTTTGGGCAGCAGTGCCGCCACCGCCACCATCGCCACCACCATCACTAAACCACCCACCCACCCCGACCCCCCTTCCCTTCCTGCTTCCACACTTCACCCCACGCGCAACACAAACACGCACACACACAAAACCCCACCCCAAACCCGGCACCCCACTGGGCAATGCTGCGCAGCATTGATGTGCAGTGCGATTGTTGCAATTATTTGCGACGTGTCATTGCATTGGGTTGCGCAATGTCAGCGATACATCGTTCAACGGGCCCAACACAAACAAAAGGAACAGCTCTGTGGACTGAATTGCTTGATTGCGCCTGGTGGCCAGTGGTTTTGTATTTGCCGACATTGCAAGAAACAGCGTGTCATAGCTTCCGCAGTCCGAAGATCAGGCAAGTCGAGAAGAAGAAGAAGAAGAAGCGAAGTCGAGAAGAGACGACTAATGACGTGACGTCATGGACGTGACTCTGCAATTGTTGTTGCTCGCAGGGCTCATACGCAAACTACGCAGATGATAAACTGGACGGGTGGGAGCATAAGTACTACGGTCGGGAGCACTACACAAGGCTGCAGAAGTTGAAAGAGGCCGTCGGCGGCTTTGAATTGTTCTCCACACGCCAACGTGTGCAGCAGGCGCCGATTTGACGTGGGCGGCTGCCGTGGTAGTCTAGGTAATGCGAGCCCCTTCCTGCAATATCATCACCTGCTTCCTGCCGCCTTCATCATCTTGTGCGATTGCCGCATCGCCGGTGGACATTAGCTAACAAAGTGTGTTTCTGATTGCGTAGCGTGGTCTTGTTTTCGACGCATGGTGCGTCACTGAGACGCGGCCAGTGGGGATTAAGCTCAAACGGACACAGGAGAATGAGCATTGCAGTGTAGATACAGTGCGTGGATTCGGGGAAGGTGTCGCGAGCGTTTACGTCATGCGTGCGAGGGAAGATTGCGCTGGCAGAGGGGCGCGTGCGATGTTGGTGGATGACTACAATGTGCCGCTGCCGTGTACTCGGAGCACGCACACGAGGATGGAATGTACATCAGGCTTGCGGGCTCATGCCTGAAGGGCAGTTATTCTTTTCAAAGAACGTAGAATATTGGATGTCACGCGCGGAATTGGTGACGCAAGTGTTGCCGGCGTTGGGCAAGCTTCGCCTGGCAACAAGGCGTGCAGGCAGTGGCATTTAATTATGAAATTTCGCTTGAACGTGTGAGCATCTTTCGGGAAATGCGTCATTCACATTGATGCCGTTGGATGTGATCTCTGGAAACACAATCTTGCCACCCCCCGGACACTAACACCCCCCGCAGCAAGCATGCCGCCTCTCCACACACCAGCAACCCAACTGTTTCTTCAGCACGCTTCCAAAGTTGCGGACGGCTTTGCCTTTTGGCTAGAAGCACATGACGAAACAGTGACGACACCATCCGGTCGTGGAAAGCAACAGACGCATCTTGTATGGCTCTCAGACCAGGGATCCTTTCTCAGGTTGCTTCCCATTAAGACAGTATTGCCCCTGCTGGGCACTGATGTGTAAGCGTGAGAATGCCGGTACGTTGGCAGATGAGTTGGCACATCATTTGTTGTTGGGACTCCATGCAATCAACACCAGCCAACAATCTCAACTCTCAAAACACTAGCGTCCAATTAATAGTTCTCTCTCGACCCAACTAACACACGCAGAAGGATCACCATTTGCCGATATCCATGCCACTGTCGCAGGCTGCATCTGCTTCAGTATTTGGCAACACTCTCGCTTCCAACTAAAGATTCTACTCTCAAAACCAATCAACGCACGCCGAAGCAACACCAATTGGCGGTACTATGCCACTCACCCACGCAGCATACAATCTATTTCACTATTCCAGCATTTGGCAACCCTCGTGACCGCCCGCGTTCACGGGATTGCAGCACGGGGAGCGACCACAGGCCACGGCAGGCACGGAGTACGTGGAGGGGAACAGGTCGCTGGGGCGCAAAAAATCTGTCCTGATGGCATGTGCGCCTGCAGCAATGAAGGCGTCCCTCCTGAACGTGTCGTTCTGCCTCGCCTCGGCGATAGTGAGGACGCCCATGTTGTCCACCTGCGTGCGGACAAAGTAGCCCTTCCCCACAGCGGCGGAAATCTCCGCCGCAGCCACGTTCTTCAACACGTCCTCCCTCTCCTTCCTCTCCACCTGGTGCTTGAAAGGGCCCTCCGCCGCCGCTACAAAAATGGCGTCGGTCATGCCCTCGTGGCCGCTTTCAGCTCTCGCTGACGTGAAGAAAACGGCACCGGACAGGGCGGGACGCGCATTGAGGTAGATGTCCCTCACGGCCGGGTCCAATACGAACACGAATTTGCCGCGCACGTCGTCGAGGAGGGGCCATCTGTCAGGGAGGACGGCCTGGGCTAATGGCGTATTGTCGCTGGTCAGCAAGTCGCCTGGCAGGAGCAGCTGGTCGCGTGTGAAGGCGTTCAGCACCTCGCTCTCCAGATCCAGCAGCAGCGTGGCGTTGATGTCGAGGACCTCGGCGAAGGTATCCGGACCTGAAGGAACGGCAAACGACACAGTACAGCGCTTTCCGCATTGACCGCATGTATCACAACGAGAGGATGCACCGGCATTTCTGAATTCAGTTGTCCGGATTTCTCCGGAGAAGACAAAGCGGCGCCATTGCATCTTTCAGACGAAGACGGGCATGTGGGCGATGCACACCAGACGTCCAAACGTTGCTTACGCCCTTGCTGTCCTTGCGCCAATTGCTTAATGCTGGGGCACAATCTACCTGGCCAGTACATTTTCCGCCAACAGTTGTGCATCCTGCTTCTGCAGTTCCACGATGCAAAGCCCACAGGAATTACGCTTGCTGGGATCGCGATCTCTCCCTTCCTAATGTTGACAAATACCGCGATATCATGTGTGCCGCGATATGAATGGAATTAGGCAAAAATGAACGAGCACAGCGGGAGGCTGCAGCTCACCGGATGACCGCGGCGGAAGGCCTGAAGGTCTTACCGGCTTTGTGCCCCGCATATCCCACGCGGCCCCGACAATAGTGCGGCCGGCCCCCTTCCAAACCGCTGGGTTTGCTATTTTCACCGGAGAGAAAGCAACACTCGCGCAGCAAAAGCACGCCTCACCCGCAGCTTCCGACGCCGCGAGCAGGGCGTTGCCCAGCCGCACCAGGCCCTCGGGCAGCTGGTCGCGCTTCGGCTCCACCCACACGATCACCGGCACGTGGGCCCCCCTCCTCTCCGACCACGCCCTCATCTCCCCCAATGCCTCCTTCAGCGTCAGCGCCACGGTCTCGAAATCGACGTCCTGGGTGTGCATCACCTTCCAGCCGGGCACCCACATCTCCCCGTCCGGCGACGTGCCGTTGATCCCGGCCAGCTTGGGCCCCGCCCTCTGCGCGAACCTCCCGCCATCTGGATTGGCATAGACGTCCAATTCGAAGGCCCTGACACCGAAGTTTTCGAGCTGATCGGTGAGGTCGGGGTGGGCGTAGTCGAGGGCGGCCGGCACGTCGGCGGGAAGGAGGGACGCGAGGTAGTCCCGCAGCTCCGGAGAGGGCGCCAACTTGTAGCTGTTGTGGGTGGCCAGCAGCTGCAGCTGGTTCAGCCTCAGGGGGGAGGCTGATGAGGATTGGAGCGGACGCCGGGATGGAGTGGTGATTGCCGCGGGCGAGGAAGAGAGGCAGGAGAGGAGTGCGGTGGCCAGGAGAAGGGTCGCCAGGGACGGGAGGACGGGTCGAAGGAGTGGGCGCAGGTGGCTGGACGCGTGCGCCATGGGGGTGTTTCTTGCGGAGAGGGTGGGGCGCGCGTTCATGGGCAACGTCGCGATCCTAATGTGTGTCGGAATTGTGAGATGACGGGGGCGGGGGGTCTCCACTGATCCTCGAACTCGATCGCCGGCTGATTCTGTTGCTCCCCCAAACTGTTGCCGAAGTTCCCGTTATCGCAGGAAGTTCCCGCTGGAATTCCTGTTGCTCTTCTGGGGCCTTTTGCTGGCAGTCGTGCAGTCTGTGAGGGGGGCTGTGGGGTAAGATGCGCTCGGCAGGATCGGGTCCAAGTTCTGCGGTAACTTAACCCGTTGAGCAGATTGCGTACCTCAACCCTGAGATATGACAAATTCGGTGTAGAATTTGCAGCGCTGGGGTGTTTTCATCTGGGCCCCGGCGTCCTGTCATCTCTGATGCGGTGCCCACGAAACCAATCAACCAGACTGCCGTTGTGCCCGCAAAAAAAATACCAATGAGCAACCGACCACATGCAGGCTCCACAAGACAAGAAACGCTAAAGAAGACAGAACAATGTGATAGAAGAAGAAGAAGAAGATTTCCAACCCGGGCGTTAGGACAGTCCATTGTGCACGTCGCCACCGCAGTATCTCTTGAATTCTCCTCCGAATGTGATAGAAGAAGAGCAGAAAGAAGAATAAAGAAATAGATGGGACACGCTGCTGTTGGGCTGCAGAACAAATGGATCAGTACCCAAGTATCGCTTGTGAAACCCACCACCCAAACTCCATGAAACGGGCGCCTTTGGCAATACGAGGCCAGCGCCCTGCGTCCAGGAGATGTCTCTACTGGATTCCTGCCAACCTAGGTAGGGTATCGTAGAGTAGGGACCCCTTGCAACAATAGGATGCTGTTTAAAACATAACGTCCTTCAACTTGCAAGCTACACGCCTAGATGCATGTGTTCCACAAAAACTTCCAAGCACTCTTACGGCAGCTACTCACTCGCGTTGAAACATAAGCGTTTCCAGCAGCTGACGGCTAACCCCTTGCATTGATATGCAGCATTTGTTGATGAGAGTAAGAATCCAAGCGATCCCAGGGGGTGCTGGATGATGCAGACATAGATAGACAGCGTGCTGGTGCACTGAAGGCGCATTCCGCTTTCCTGCACATATGTCCGACACCCTTCATTCCGGGCATGAGGGCCATGAAGGCAATTTTCGGGTTCTAGAGTATTAAGGTTGTAGCTTTGAGGACCCTCGTCCCCTTCATGACGTTCACGACACCTTCATGACCTTCATGTCTGGAAAGATAGGTATGTACCATACTTCTTTTCCCTCCCCGTGATGACATAGGCAACGCGATCCTGTTTTGGCATTTCACAAGCCCCGCAAGGGCCCAAAGAATTACCGCACGCGACTAAACAAATCCCAGTAATTGCATCAATAAACGCACATGCAGACCAATTGCCAAGTCCCTCATGCCCACAAGGTCCCTGGTCACGAAAGGCATCCCTGCGCAGTCACTTCGAGCTCTCGACAAGCCTCTCGCTGTCTTGAACGAAGCCAAACATGTTGTCAAGATAGGTAAAGAATTTCTGGTAGTAGCAGCGCCCGTCTACGTGGTGAATGTGATGTCGTCGGCTTCCTGTTGTCACGAAATGCGCACGTGGTAAGTTCCAGAACGACAGCGTCTTCATGACAGTGGAGCGTTACAAAAAGTGCCAGTGGCAGACGGCAGCTGCTGTGGCTGCTCTTGACAAGCTCGTACCCTGCTGGATATCGGTAGCGATTTCAGGGCCAAAGGTTCAGCACGCAGGGGCGCACGAAGTCATTTCCTTATCGGCTGGTGTACACCCGGGCAAGCTCGGGCGGGAGCATTATGTTTGTTACAGCAACAGCACAGTAAGAGTGAATCGCGTTGAGGCAATTGTGTCAATGCACCTGACTATCGGCTTTCAGCCTCAATAAAGCAGCGGATTCTCGTCTGTCGCTACAACGTGAACATCGCAACAAGTGCACTGCAATGAGCACTTGCAGCAGGCAAACGCGAGCTGAGAGTTGTGCCCCAAGTGCACACAAACGGGACCAGATTCTGCGGCCCACGAAGACGGTGGGAATCAAGGCCAGTGCGCACCTGCCCAAATACCGCAAGGCACCACATTTTGCAGCATCCACGGCATGTCGTACCCTGACCGCAAGCACAAAGCAAGTCGGCAGAAACAAGCCTGTAGCTCGCCTAAATCACAACTTGAGTCATCAAAACACAAGCGACAATACCATCACTGCCTGTGGGGCTGTGCGGTCAGGTTACAGCTTGCCAGTCTAGTCGACATGTGGCTGTATGCTGCTGAGCAGGCTGATGCATTGCTTGCATTTGTTTGTATGGAAATACGTCAGCGTTGGTTTTCCACTTCCTGTACAAGGAATTTGGGTACCTCTACCATATAATGGGAGCTGGCGCAGACCTCTACCGATGGCACCAGCAGTGCGCAATGCGCTAAGAGGGCCAGAATGGCAGTGATCGTATGGCTCCGATTATGGTCGCTACGACAGCAACATGGCCAACATTGCCTGTGCTAAAGGCACTCTTGTTCAGACACCACACTGTCATAGTGTGCAATTAGGCTGAAACAAACGATCCTAGGCAAAGCAATGAGACACGTGAAAGCAAATTGTCGACAATTATCAGCACAATTACAGGAGCCCCATATGGCCCTGACAGTTTCGACACAGGTTCAATCACTTCTATATGTTGCCAATCCATGGGCCCCGTTACACATAGTGCACCTGCATGCAGCTCTGTCAGGAGGTAGACGATCGTTGCATTGTATACAGCTCTTGAAAGTGGGTGGCACCTCAGAATATTCACAGCCGCGATGGAGCAGGACACATCAGCCCACTGTGCAGCAGCCACAGTACTCATCAGAACGGATGGTTCGGTGCGCACAAACTGTACAGAATGTAGTGCACTTTCAGATGCATTCTCTTGTACAGAGTCAAGGCATGCATTCCACGTGGCTTGTGGAGATTCGCAAAACTTCCCTAGCGAAAACTGATAATTTCACCAGCAACAATGGATGCATCAATTAGCTAACTACCTTTACCTGACCATATCAGGAGTGCCACCCAGGCGCACATCTTCCCCTGGCGGGACAGACAAGCAATCTGTTCTGTTTTAATTTCCTTTTATGTGTTAGGGGGATGGGAAAGTGCATAAAGTGCAATTGCAACTTGAATGCAACCCCAGTGGCTGCCAACCGTATGTATAAAGCAGCAGCATTTACTTTTCTGTCCGCAACAGGAAACTAAACAGCAGCTCCGAATCTACTCTGACAGACTGCGTGCACAGCCATCCCTGAAACTCAAACCAAAATGTCTTGCCTTAAGAACAAAAGGCAAGAGCGATACCAATCTTCACACCAGGCTTGTCATCACCTGCTCGAAGAGGCTCAGCCTTATCGTTTCTATGGCACGCACAACTCTTCTGCTGTGGTGCTTGGCATGTACATTGCGGTATAAACAAGGAACCTGGCAAAGGGCAAACAGCAAATGGAGTGAGTACCACAGTGAACGAAGAAAGCAAGACTTGTAAAATTTGCAACCCAATGTCAAGCCCATGGCTGTCTAGTCCCCTGGACGTCGACCTGGCAAGTCTTGGAGTGTTGCAATTCAAGGAATCTGCTAACTGTTTTCTTGAGTGGGCTGCTCAAATTCGGATAAGATGTGCCATGATAATCTTGGTATATGCTGTCTGGGGTGTCACCAAAGATACTACGAGATACTACATTCTGGTGGTGAGTGCCACCCTGCTTTTCAAAGCGCACTTGATTGGCTAACATTCACAGTTTTGCAAGAATTGTACCTCAAAAAAATTTGGAGAAATCTGTACATCCTGTCTGTTCATTGACACATCCAGGGAGAACACACTTTTGGAGAAATCTGTACATCTTGTCTGTACATTGACACATCCAGGGAGAACACACTCTCCTCATAGGGGAACCTAAAACCAAAATGTTGCAACTTGCAGTCACTAGTAATTGCCAGAATCTGATGCTGTTACCTTGCATCCATTGTCCCGCACTGAGTTTGACATCAACCATACAGAGAAGATTGCAAGATGACAAATAAAACAACGATCACCCTCTTCACTGTGACGTGTACTCTTCCTGTTGTGTTTGGAGGTGCTTGATCACTTTTATGGACGTTCACTCATTATGCATTCCATTCCTCCTGTCTATGAGGATTTCCATACCCATGCGGCGGATACAGCAGGCATTCATAACACAACATGTTCTCCTTTGCGCCAAAACCAAAGGCCTTCGATCTCTCGGCTGACGCCCCGCCTACCTTGTGACATATCACATGGACAAAGAAAAACAGCAGGTCGTACACAACCAGTGCTGCTAGCACCTCCACCACGAGTTGCTCAACGGATGGAGCTGATGCTGGCAGTTTGCGCCTTGGGAAGAGATAGTCGAATACCAAGAGTGGGGCGAAATACCAGGCGGGCTCCTGCAGCAGCCTGGAAGCAACGCACAGCCTAGTCGATAGTGGTGTACAAATATGCACCATACTGCAGTACAGAAGACCGTCACATCGACAAGGTTATCGTGCGGAAACTATACAGAAGCTGGACAAACGTCCGCGCAACGTCACAGAGACAAGACGTGAAGGATGTTCGGTGTGTCCCCCACCACGGTCGCACATGCGCATAAAATCTTGCCAGCAATGCCACATTGCAGCAGAACCATATTCGTCCCATTCAGCAAAGCGCGGTTGTGCTTGCTGTTCAGCTGAGCGCGTAGGGCCCGCAACAAAGGCAGGAATAACACGGCCCGCGCAGACGCCCAAACGGAAAAAATGGCGCGCGACATGTGCAATACGCGGCTCCCTCCAGTCATTGCCAGTTACAAGTCCCGGACGCGCCTCCCCAAACAGGCCGCTCCTTGGTGGGCTTCCCCAACTTCCAGGGGCCAGGCGCGCCTCCCGGCGCACCGGGAGCTCTTGATCGTGCACCGCTGCGTGCTTGACATCTGTACGACAGGGCGCGCCGAGGTTCCCAAAAATTCGACGTTAATGCAAATGCATTTCTATTCGTAGCGCCAGGCCACTGCCTCCATCATCCCATTGCGCATGATCCCCGTCTCCCACCTCCCTCGCGACAGCCCTCCCCCCCCCCCTCCCTCTTCCCGCCCATATCTCCACACCTGAAGCCCCTTTTCTCAATCTTCCACGACCCCAAGTCCGCCGAGTCCTGCAGCCTCCAGGGCCGCGTCCACCCCTCCGGCAGCCAGCAGTCCATCGCCTTCCAGAACACGAGGCAGAACAGAAAGGCCACGACCACCACGCCCGGCTCAAAACTGTCGTGCCGCACGATGGCGCTCGCCCGCAACACATCCCATGCTTCCTGCACCAGGGCGTTGGCGCCCCGCCGCCACACGAGGGCCGCAGTGCCGACGGCCAGCCAAAGGGCACGGAAAGCGTGTGTGGTGGCAGACAGCCGCGGAACGTCTACCATCGCGCGAGCTGTGGCGCCTGGACTGAAAACGCTCACAGAAATCGCGAACGCCCGGGGGAGGGGTGCTAAAGCGCAGTTAGTAATGCCTGGGGCATGACGGCGGGCCTGCCGTCATGGGGCCGTCGTCCGTCGATGCCCGAATCCTAGCGGGGAATGGGCGACCCTTTGTGAGGGAACAGTCGGTGCGGAATGCGGAATATGCGGGTAGCACGGTTGCCGCAGCGAAATGACGGGCCAGGCAATTCGCCCGGATAACGAGAGGGGCCTCCCCCCTCTCGTGTTGGCCGATTTGGGCAGGCCCGGTGAGGGTTGCCGGAATGTTGCGCTGGCGCAGTCTGCTGCGGGCTCGGTTGATTGTGCAAGCAAGGCGTAAGATTGATGAATGTTTTGGTGCAGCGATCCCTTGTGATTTGTCAATGACCGTTTAGGTGTCCACAACCAAAAGGAAGCCCTGTCGCTGCCCGTCATGCACGAACCCTCTGACAAAGCATTGACCGGGGCCGGGAGCGTTGCGTCGAGAGCTTCGTCAATATTGCAGCTTGGGAACGTCATCCACAAATCAGCTTTTAGGAAATAGCACAGAGAGAACCCGTAACCCATTCTTTCATGCTTTCCATGCGTTGCGACGAAAAATCGTCAATGGGGGACTGTCATCCTTAGGATGTTGGCTTGTCTGGGGCAAGCTTCACCAACTGCTGATGTGGATTGCTGTGAAACAACCAAAGAGGATGCATACATTCACGACGTGGCGGTTCGGACTGGTACGAGCATTGAAAACCATCGTGTGGTACATTTTTAACAATAGGTCATTTGGGATAAAAAATTTGGATGCAAAGTCCGTGCCGAAGAGTGTGGAGCGCCTTATTCAGTCGTTCCAGATTGGTCAAACCCACGGGCCAATCAAATCTCAAAATACAATACTGCACAATTCAAAAGCTGCCTGCCATTCCGCCATCCCATTGTTGGCCCCTTCCCGCACGCGTCAAAAAAGCGACAGCTGCAGGGAGAGGGGCACGATGACGGGCTCCAGCACTAATCTTGCGAGGAAGTAGAAGGCCACCCCGAGGACGATGGAGAACGGCAATGCAGGCAGGGCGCGGCGAGCCACTGCCAGCAGCAAGAGCGTCATTCCAAGTCCGGCCACAATCGCCAAATACGCAGCGTACACTGCAAACGGCATCACATCGAAGAGTTAGCGCAATGGCGTTTCAGCAGTGACAGAGGTGGAAGACACACTCGGCATTCGGGGGCCTCACGAATTCAGGACCCCCCACAGCGGCCAACGCATTGCCAACAACCAGCACTTCAGCACTGGTGACAGCAGGCGACACACTGCTCGTTACGCACCTGCACACTACTCAACCTGCTTCGGCAAGCTGTCACAAGCCAAACCAAACAGCAAAATGAACCAACCACCTCAACACGTAGGCGTCTCGAGCATCGGCACCAACACTTGGTGCAGGCCAGCTGCAGCATGAGTAAGGGCAATGTGGCTGCGTGCACCCCACCCACAATAAACTCTTGACATGGACGTACCAGTCATGAAGTCATAGAACGCGGCCCGCCCAACCAGGACGCTGTAAAATATGAAGTCCCCAAGCCCCAACTTCAGAGAATCGGGGAGCTCGAATGCCGCTTCATCGTCTGACCCGTCACCACCCCGCCTGGCAGCAGGAGGCGCCTGCACCGGCGGCTGCACGCTGTGTGCAGCAGCAGATTGGCTGCCCCTGGCGAGAATGCAGGCATCCTTAGTTGCAGAACAGGTTTGCAAAACAGCAGCCCCGTATAGATTCAATCGCCCCACAATTTGGACACTTGCAGAAAACCAAGCTCTCAAAAAAGTGCATCGATGCACGGAAGACAGCACAGCAAGACCAAAGCGAATTTTGTGATGACAGCTTCAGCTGATACGAAATTGATTCCTCGGAGGAGATCTTGTGCTGGTGAGCCTTTGAATGTTAACGATGTAAAGTTCGCCGACAGTCTGAGGCATGACATCAAATAAGTGGTTGAGGATAGACATCGATAGCAACAGCAGCTATGGGGTGCATTTCGAATCCCAGAGACAGGCTCTGTGTGTGCAGCTTCGCATATGGCATTTGCTGTAGCACCACACACGAACATCCAAAACGATAATCCGAAAAACGAATAACATCAAACAATACTATTAGCGCCAGCAATGAACTGTGATGGCAGCAAGTTTGTCTCAAGGAGCCGCCAAGGGATATTCAAAGGTGCTCACAAGATGCCTAACAACGATGACAATACCATACTTTGAGCAAACACAGGCTCAGAGATGTCTCAAGCAGCAGATCTGGAATTGGAGCAGCTGGTGTGCGTGCATGCAGTACCTTGCACTTGATGTATGACAAGCCAAAACATCAGGAAGGGGGGACAAATTCACTGATACTGAGCTCACCTCTCAACATCAGAGCCTTCATGCCTACTTCTTGAGTCCCTACTGCCCGTTCGGCTCCTGTGGTTACGGTGGTTGGAACCAGTTGAAGATGCACAGCTTGTGGCAGCTGCACCCACAGACACAGACCAGGTATGGGTACAGGTGCTGCACAAGCTTCCATGGATCTACAAACCTCCAGCACATGCCTGTGTGTGCCTCATACTGCACAGTGTTTGATTGACACTATCCCAGCACCACAGTGCTCGAACCCAAGCTTCATTGTGCCACATTCGCTGCCACTTGTTCAACAGCTTAGAGTGCTGATTCCTTAGTTTCTGTTAGTTAGTTCTGGTATATGTTCTGTGGATGTCAACAAGATGTGTACATGAAACACACCAACGATTCAACATCCATGTAATGTGTGTTGTTTAAGCAAACGAGAATGTTTGCATTATGAGACCTTGGACTTTCCAGCAGCAGCAAAACAACCACCATCTCAGAGAATTATTGCAAATAAAATGCAAGACAATGTTGTTGCACGCCTGGAACACATGCAAACAATCCCAGTGCAGTCTAGCTCACATTCCAACATTTGTCCTTGCCTGAAGCTCCAACGAGTGGAGTAACAGGATCTTCATCAGCGCCCTGCGGCTCGCCTGCACCGACCTCACTGCTTCCCTGTTACACATCAACAAGCCGCAGGTGGTTGGCATGCTTGTGCAAAGAGAGAACAGGTCATGTATCGGCACCTTGTTTGGCAAAGTTGTTCACTTGCAGGGTGAACATCATACAGCAATGTCTGTGACTCATATTCCAGTAAAACCGTCCATTCGAATCGATCTGGCACCAAACAATCAAGACAATGATGTCTGTGCGCTTGCAAGGCGATGATGGGTATGTCATGATAACACATCAGGGAGCAGTGCCGCTTGAGCTTGTACCGCATGACACTTAACACTACTCGACTTGCAACACTTCAAGCCACATCTTGGTGTGTTAGTATGGGATACAGTAGCTGACATTCCCTGCGATCACGCAGTCTACAGTCCCAACCAACTCGGCCTTGCAGATGACCTCCACTGCCAGCAAACACTACATTTTGCATACTGGATTACTGAACCTGTGAATTGTCCTCCAGCCCTTCACCAACAGGGCCAATAGACAGCACTGGTCCTGATGATAGTGTGACAGCAGTAGTTTCCTCTCTTGAGCGCCTCCTGTAGTGTCCCCAACCACGTTCGGCACCACGCTGCAATTAACAAACAAGGTTCAGTGAGCCGTCGATGCACAATCTGGTGAAGGACAATGTGGATGCAGCAAGAACCTGCCACTGTGGCTTTCAGCTGCTAGGGCAGAGCTCCAGAACAGTAGGCAAGGCATTTATTGTTACAGTTGATGCCAAAAAGGAGATTGGGCTTCTCATCAAGCCAGAATGTAGTAGCAACTTTCCCATTCCTGGCAGTTGCACCAGTGTTCCGACAAAAGCTGGACCTAGGCAAGTTTTATGTCAGAACTCTGTCACAAAATGAATATTTGGTTGCACCCTGTTTTGACTGCATGGCCTGGTCTTGTGACAGCGCACATCGCAAGCGCCTGCAAGAAGTTGAAACCCACCCAATCTACGTTGCCACCAATTCAACAGCATCGACGGCAGCCCATTATGCAGATATGCAGGCCTGTGGGCCCTTGTAGGTGGGTGGACAACGATTTGTCGATATGGGCAATCGGCAGCACAACTAGGAGAGAGCACAGCAAGTCAACAACGTAACATAGCTTCACCAGGTGGAAATGCATCAGACAACATCATATCTTGGGGGAAGTTGCGGCAGCAGCAGCGCATCTATCTGACAGAATTGATATGGCAGTTGCTGTGCTACAGCTTGCCAATGGGAACAATGGGAACTGCAAAGCAGGCCGCTGCAAGACACGTTCGGCACCCTACAGGCCCATTGACAGCACCCGGGCTTACCACTGGTCTGGCCTCATACACAAGTGCTGGGATGTCCTGCTGCCTCTCGATTGCCAGTTCTACAAGCACCTGCCAAAGCACACATTGTATTTTACGCTTGTCGGCACATACCCTGTGAAAACAAAGCGAATGGCCACTGCAGACCACAGGCTCCCAGGAATTCCCATTCACTGACATACTCACCAGGAAAGCATGACTCTGCATCCGATAATGCCCGCATTCATAATAGCTCAATTAATAAAGAACTGTTCTAACAAGTGCAAAAGAATTGCAACAGTTGCTGATACGACACTATTCCACATTTTTGAAGTGATTCATACTTTGAAGCTATCCAAATTAATATAAATGACCAAACATGAATAAACAAACAATGAATAACCAAATGGGCCAGTCTCTTCCATGGCACCAATACCACACCTTCAGGGGTCCTCCAGGCGCCAGCACAGCGGCAAGGTCATACAACGCCATGAACACCAGCAGCTGCAGCAAAGCGACCATAGTGCATATCAGCGCAGCTACGTAGATCTGGACAACAGACATTCTTTCTCTCCAATCAGCTCCCTTCAGCAACAGCTTAGAAGAAAAAGCAAAGGATGCAAACGCTGCCCTGCGTCAGGTTCAGGGTGCCTGTTGACATATCACAGCTTCCGCACAATCCACACACAGTATTCACACCTTTGACGCCTTCAAGCATCACACGTACATTCAAGCCTCCAGTGTTCATTACAACACAAAGAGTGCAAGGACAGTGCTGTATCAAATTTTGGCAATAACAACCAATAACAGTATTATCAGGAACCAATAACAGTAATATCAGCAAGGAAATATGAAACAAGCCGTGCACCAAATGGCTGCTTGAAGCTTATACAACAGGACCTGGAAAGCAAAAGAGATCATTTCACGTTTCTTATCACCTCACTTATCACATATCACATTCTTATCACATAACAGGGTTCATGTTGCTGTCCAACACATTTACCAACTCGTATACCAATTTCTCCAATTGTGTTCGCCACACAGGCAATATGGTTGGCATTCCCTGGGGAAACAACTGCAGTTCAATACAGCGATCAGCGCAGGGACCACCATCTATTGAGCACTCACCACCCAGGTCGTCCACTCCGGTATCAACGTAAATATGTAGGCCACCAGTACCCCGATGACCACCAGGTAGCCTTGCTTCATAAATAGAGGAGCCGGCCAGAAGAACAGGCCAAGCATTCCAACAATCTGTGAGCAACAACAATGAATGAAAACAATATTGTTGCTGCTCATCACTTCAGAGACCTGTCCGATTGAGATCTGTACGTCGATGCCTTTTGGATCACAGCAAAAACGGATGCCAAATATGCTTCTGGCTGAAATCATGCTGGAAATGAGATGGGTCACTGAAACATCGCAATGGGACACTTGTTGGCACATGTGGGGACAAACAGACACCTTGCGAACGTTTTGGCTGGTGGAATTATGCAATAGTCGACTGCAAGTTTCAAGCGGTCTGCTTGTCATTTCTGGGCAAATAGACTAAGCATATTTACATGGCACAGTTCCCTTACACATGACAACAACTGTCGCATATGCTACAATCGTCAAGCTGCATTAGAAATGTAATACATGTGGTGACGTACGATATTGAAAAGTTTTACAACGTGGCTTGTTTTCACATGACTGTGTCCATCTTCTCATAACTACGACTCCAAGGAGAAATGACACTATGAAGCAGCCATGCCAAAAGCGCACTCAGACATGGGCAATGTCATAGGGCTGGAGGTTGGTGGCATCTGAAGGGACCATAAAGACAACAAGGAAGACTGAGGATGGAACATGTTGACCTCAAGACGTGAACATGCAGAGCCTGAAGAAAGCTGAAGATGCAGATGGAGCAGAAGGAGGCTGATGTTGGAGTGTGTGTGGATCTATTGTTCAGTCAAAGTCCTAGCAGCTGTGGGACACAAATGACAAAATACAAGATCACAAAATCACAAAATGACATTTCTATGGTAGCCAAGCAGCTAACAAAGTCCCTGCTAAAGTTTATCCTCACCGAAAAATTGTACAATATGAAAGCCAGCGAGACTGCATCCATGTGTATGTTTGCCCTCTGGAAGAGCTCGATGACCATCGCGCCCATCATGAAGAAGAATATATTGATGACAGCAAAGCCCATGTAGCAATAGATGCAATTGACGCACTGCAAGAAATAAAAAGGGTTGTCAGTGCACGAGGTACAATGGGAAAGAAAATGCCAAGGCCCAAACACCCTTGCATTGCCTTGGGTACAAGTGAAGGGGGAGCACCAAATCACTCTTCTGGACTTTAGCAAATTGCTTTGGCCAATGCTGAAACACGAAGGCAGATTGAGATCTCTGCCATGTGCATCCGCAAGACACTGGGTATTTTTCCAGAGCATTCAAATCCCCTTTGGATGCTTTAGGGGTGTGCATGGTGCTTCAAATCAAGCATTGACATGCATCCTGTTAAAGGTCAAGTCCTGTTGCACAGATCTGGAGCACAGTGAAACAAGGTTGCAGGGAAGTAAACGCAGTGCATGCAATATCATACACATGCATTTGAATGGCCAAGCACGACCCATCTGTCCCCAAGGCCCTGAATGCGCTGCATGTGCATAAACCCATAATATACAGTCTGCACTCACCCCATATTTGAACAAGAGCACCAGAATGAATGTCATCGCAGCGATGCACAAAACAAATATCAGGGCGTTCAGCAGCGACCCTGAGAACTTCTTCCCCGCGGAATCACTTTCCTGCCACAAGCCACACAATGCTTCTGTCCTCAGCAACTGTGGGAGGCAAGCAGCCTAGATGGAACACCACGATTGCAATCCCCGAGTCCTAGTGGGTGTTCCCAGTGTAGGCTTGTCTAGTTCCTGTCAAAAGGAGAATCCTTGCTTGGGCACATTGGGGTGCTCACTATATGACATGGTTCCTATCTGCTACAAAAGACACTTCATGTGGGGAGCGGAGATGTTGTCCTCAAACTTGCTTTTCACCAGACAAAGCGGTGCCCTTGCATCTTGTTGGTGATGGCTGGCATGAATACATCCAAGAACGTTTTTATGCCCTATTTCCATTCATTTTATCTGCACACAAGGTTCTCAGGGCACAGAGCGCTAATGCCCTTGTCCAGCCCCAGTTGCCTATGTTACATGTTCACCTTTTCTTCGCTAGGATCACCGATCTGCCAAGCATCCCTTCGGCAAAGTGGGACCGTGGACGGAATTCTTTGCAATAAACAACAAGCCCCCCGTTGCCAGTTCCCAGCTCAGGACAAACCAGGGGAACCCACTGACGAGTTAGGAACACGCTGCTCCACATCGGTTCGCACGCACAACCCGACACAATCCCCACATGTTTCAAGCCTGCCCACAGTTGCTTCAAAGCTAACCCATCGTTTGCTCAGCTGCAGCCAACTTTTCCCACTCCCTCAGCCCAACCCCGTCGGCTTTCCTGGGACCCCCAGAGGGAAGAGAAGGCCTCCTCCCCCATGCACGCGCGCCCAACCTCTGCAGCCCCGCGCCAGGGGCACCCAGCGGCGCTTCTGTCCCAAAAGTGGGCAGCCCAAAATGTGGGCAGCCCAGCCCGAGTGAGTGAACATCATTACGGGCAACGTGAAAAATCGACACACTGCTCCTGTCCCGTGTCTCTGCTGGACTCAGACAGCCAAGCAGCATCCCTCTGCAAGTCTCCAATGAGCTCGCAATAGCTCGTAGCAACCCCACCCCGCAGCATCAAGGAACACAGTGTGCAAAAGTCCACCGACAGCCCAACACGATCGACAAGAGTGACCGCCAATCAAACTCGCTCCATGAAAGCCCCCCCACCCACCCCAGCGCCCACCAGCCAACACCAGACGCCACTTCTCCAAATCCATGACATCGGGATCGCGTCAGGTGGCCCCCTCGTGCGCAGGCGCCGCGCGCCCTGGGCCCGGTCCGCCCCGCGCGCACGCACCTCCTCGTCATAGTAGGCCGAGGCGATGATGACCGTCCGCGTGCTGCTGTCGCCGTCGGGGTTCAGGATGCGCACCAGCACCACGGTGAGGGCCATGCACAGCGACACGGGCGCCACGATCCCCGTGACCTCCTCCCCGAGGTCATCCAGAATGCTGGTGGTGGCCGCCAATGCCGAGTATACGAGAGGGGAGGGTTGTGTCTGGTGGTGGAAGGGCGAAGCCCGGAGCGAGGCGTCAACGCCGAGTGCGGGCCGCGGCCTGGGCGTTGTGAGCGGCGGCCCCGGCCCTGGTTGGGATCCGCGAGCGGGTACAGCGGGGGATTTGGAGGGAAGGTGGGAACGGTGGGAACGGTGGGTACGGCGTATGTACGGTGCGGTGGAGGGTGGTGGGATTGCGGGGGCCTGGATTGTGCTGTTGTGCGTATTCCTGGACTTCGTTTGTGCTGCGTAGTGGTTTTCAAGGAGCTGATCATGGGCACTGCTTTGCTCGGACAAACTAGGAAGCTGACGGCCACCTCACCGCCTTGTTGAGTAAAATTGAGCGATGATGATGACGATGATGTTCTGAGATGTTGATGAATTCCTTAATTACAAGCGTTCACTGAACCCGACTCCGCTCCCAGCAGCATAAACATGATTTCAACAGCCTGTGCCACCTTTCGGCGATGTAGGTCAGAAGCAAAATAAAGAGATGTCCATGTAGAGAGAGATTCATGTACAGAGGTGGCCACGGACTGGGAGCAGTGGAGTCATCAGAATGCAGTGTCTAGATGACGATGATGTGGTTTGTGCGGCTTAGGCGTGGTTTCTTAACGTGCTCTTAAAGTGGCAATGGTGTTGATGGGGCGGCGGGAGTAGCAACGGGGTCACTCTTTAGAACTTTTTTCGCCGTGAACTGACAGTCTACCGTCTTGACAACCTTGACCATTTCGTAGCTCAGCATAATTTCTGTGCCGAATTGCGAATGCTCACAACCGCAGGGTGGAACTCTGAATTCCAGGGAACAATTTAATATGGAGTATCGGAATGCGGCAAGTTGGTCTAAGGCTATAATGCATCTTGCACTGCCTCCTCTCGTGCTCCCGCTCGCCGAGTGGGATAGAACCGACGGTTCTATGTGGGCAACCTTCCGAGTGGCAGCGATGTTGGTTGCGGCCAACTCACAGATGCTCAGCATTTTGCTCCTCTGCCGCTCCTTATGCAGAAGTATAAGTTACAGAAGTTGATGTTGTGATCGCATTAGAATGGGCATTTGGACAATGCGATTTGCCTGCCAGTGCACGACTTTTTCAGCAAATCCCAAATAGGAATATGATTTGTGCTATATAGCCTGCTTTCCGCCTAGATATACCGTTTGCCGATATTCTGTCCCAATTTCAATGAAATTTCCGTACACCGCCATTGGGTTTGAAACTGCTGGATCATTTTCATTTGAGGAAATCATTCAGGCGGACATTGACATTGAATACACAACTCACAGGCAAATAGGACGACGTGTTCAGTGAACACTTGATGTTAGCTTGGCAACCTTTTTTGCGACTGTAATAACTGACGCGGGCTTGAGAAAATTCTGGAAGTCTCCTGCACTTCCATGAAAAAGGCCTCTGAGTATAGGTTCTTTACTGCGTATTCCTTGGCACCGGGACGCATCAGCTGCCGGTAACTGTGTCTGGTCGCAGAGATTGTATTCCATATCGGTTCAGTAGGAAATAGTGCCTGAAGTGTGGCGATGCACCCGTCGCGACAGTGGGTCAAATAGAAGGGCATTGATGTATTCAAGATCTGCAATTGTCCTTCAGCGCTGAAACCGTCTCGAACACCATTAAACTCCTTGCCTTGCCTATAAAACAAATGGATAATGAATAAACTCAGCAATTTTGGGGCGTCCCCAGCAGAAAAATTGTTCTCTCTGAGCCACAATTTCTATGAACGGACACGTGGCCGGCGCCATATTCCACTTGCAGGGTTGTTCGCCTGTGCATGGTGGAATCTATTCGCGGATGGCAGGCCGGTGTTGTCGGTGCCGCCGTTCTGTAAACAAATTGCACTGTTCTGTAAATAATAATGATGACGGTGATGCCTCCCATGAAGAATAGATGCTGATAAATAGCCATCATTTTACTTCAACAATTTTCGAAGCGCATTTGATTTGGAATGTTATTCATCACCACTCAGGCTTTCACAAACAGGCAAGGATGTAGCCGTCAACTTCTTATGATGTCCGAGCCAATCAGTTGCCATGATTTGTTTATTGAAATCTAATGTATAACGCAAACAAAGTCCGGAACGCATCGATTCCCATATCCAAGAAGCACTCTTCAATGATAATACATGAAAAGAAGTGTCCTCGGCGGTTGGCATAGCCGCTTGGTTTCTCACAGGCTTCTCACTCACAATCGCGTTTGTTGTCCTTTGTCTTCATCATTTGCTGGTGATGCGTCACTTGGAATACACTTGCCAGTGCATTCCGAGTGGTGCACGATCAGCAAATGGTGAGTCAATTTGAGCAAACATCGTAACATTGCCCCGACAAGTGCGAAGCAGGAAGCCGAAGGCTGTCCCCTTGCCCTGTTATGTAAAATTTCATAATTATGACGCCATTGCACCGATGCAGCACACCAGTCGTCGGTTGGGCCATTCTAGTGTCCCCGGCACCCTGTGTCGACATTCCTATTCCCAGTCACCAGCCGTCCTTGACCGTCAAGAAAAGTCCTCGCGACTCACCAGCCCAAGCCAGCAAGCCCGCACAGACGGAGGGCTCCCGCGAGACTCCTCGCGCCTCCGGCAGCCCCCAGAATGACAGCGGAGCTCAAACTGCCAAAAATCGTTCCAGTGTAAGTCGCCACCGCAGCCGCCGAGTCAAAGGCGCGCTGACTGACCAACGCCCAGGTCTCCGTCGCCCGGTCCCTGCCTTTGCCTTCTCAAGACCGCTGTGGATTGGTAGAATGTGAGTGCCGCTGAGAACGGTGTTGGCCCTTGCGCTCAGGCTGGCCGTGGGCCTGCACGACGTGCAGAACAGCGCGAGCTACACTTCGGGATGCGCCGTTTGCTACAGCGTCGGCAGGGTGGTTGCCACGTACAGGTGAGAGCTTGGGCTTTGCGGGGCAGCCGCCTGACGGTTGTGATGGCCTTGGGGTGTCTGGGTGTGGGTGGACGGCTTGCCTTTTCGGTTTCTGGCACGCCGGACCAAGGGGCCCAGGCGGAAGGCGATCGGGGGCGAAACCCTTTGGCCCGCGCAACATCCCTGCGTGCCGACAGCGCAGCAGAGCTGTGGGCAGCTCGCACTGCGCTTGGATGAATGTAACCGCGCAGAAATGCCTTGCTTGGTTCAGCACTTCCTGGGTTGGGTTGTGAGCTTTGTCTCTCAACTCTTGGAATATTTGGAGTCCAAGGTTAGTATGCAGTTCAAATGGAAGCGTTGCTGTTAGCTTTCCGAGGATTTTTAACTCGACCCCGACATTTCCAGGCTCCCGAGTATTCTGCGTATCAGTAAATGCCGTGTTTCAGACATTTTACGTTTTCAGGAACTCCCAGGAGTCCGGATGAAAGCGTTCACATTGCTGCCAAAGTAACATCCCATCGTGAGCGCAGGGAAGGTCTTCTGCTGCGACGGCAACCGCTCTCGCATCATCTGAAGGACCAATGCCTTCTGCTTTATGCCGCTCGCGGCGTAGTTGATACAAAGTAATGCGTTCAATTTACGTTTCGAAATGGTTGCCAATATTACCATGAGGCCATGTCATTGGAGAAGGCTAGATGAACCAAGAGAGGACATTTAGATCCACCGCTGGACGATTATGCCATGCGCGTTACGCAGACAGAATCATATCAGCCATCACAAAGCCTTGCATCACCCGACTGACGGACAGACACAGCTTTCGCTGAATCATTCGTTTTTGTACAAAATGGGTACCTAATCAGTACATTTTTGAATTACTGTAGATATTTTGTCCCCCTCGAGACAGCTACATGTGAAAATATTAGAAAATTTGCTCCTCAAAATGTGTAAATACATCTTGCGCACGAACTGACCTCCCACCAATCAGCCCAGTACGTGATTCTGGAAAATCCCCTTAACATTTTTCCCCACTCCCCCAGCACAACGGGCAGCCACGAGACGCGCGTGAGTCAGCCCATCCACAGCGTGAATTCCGTGACGTCCCTCGCTGTGTCGCCAAGCCGAAAGTACATAGCGGCGGGAGAGGCCCTTTCCTCTGCGACCCAGGTCACTGTCTTCGATTCCACAACGCTGGAGAGGCTCTTCACCCTGCAGTCCAGCTGCGAGGAGAAGTTCACGACGTGCTGTTTTTCAGCGGACGACAAGGTGATGGACTCTGATGCGAGCGGCTACAATTCCTTGAGGTCAAACGTGCCAGAGAGATTGCCTTGTCAAAATCTTCCTGAAATAGAGAAAATCCAGTGCGTTGAATGCGTCGAGCGAATATACAATCTTATGCATTTAATTCGTAAGATTCCTCTAATTTAGAGGCACATACAGGCAAAAATAGCTACAACTAAATGTATCTGTTTAATGTAATGCTTGAGTGAATTTCGTGCATGCATGCACAAAATGCATTCGATTTATAAGAATGTGTAATATTTTGTATCGGCAATACAAATATTATATTTCGTAAAGCAATGTGTGAATTTTACACTTCTATTTTTGAAATACATTTTTTCGGTGTCCTTGCCATGCTCACACATGTCTCGCAATCCTGAGGATTGCTGGCTGACAGTTCAAGATTCTATTTTGAAAGCTCTTGCCTAAGTACGAAAAAAATACGAAGGTCATTGTTGCGGGTTGTCTTCTGAACTTTTCGTTATTTCTGCGCAGTTTCTTTTGGCGGGGGCGCAAGAGAAAGGAATAGTTCGGTACTGGAAATGGATGGAGGGGAAAGAAGTGTGCTCGACTGAATGGACGTAGGTGGTGCCCAGCAGCTACCGCGTCCTGTGATGCATTTTGGAACACTATTGAGCCAAGTGCAAATCAATGAATTTACTGCAGGTGAAATTATTTGCGGCTTGTTTTTGTTGTATCTGCATGCCTCGCCATCGGCTGGAACACAAAATGACCCATGAAACAATTATTGAAGATA